TACTCGTTCACTACTTTTTACAGTAGCCTATTGTGCTCTTCTTTGCTAGACCCGCATACCAGAATGGCATCCATCAGAGACACGACACCATCGCAGTCTTTCAACTCTTCCTGCATTTTCTTTTGAAAAAGTTCTGTGGCACTTGATGTCCCGAAAGTAGATGGTTGAAACACAACCTTCAAAAAGATGTTATAAACGTAGAGAATAGCCGAGATTCTTCTTCCAAAACCATGTGATAGAAACCTTAGGCTGCTTCCAATTTCGAAAAGTACTTAGCGTTCTTGATTCAATGCAGAGTGTAGTGGACACCTGAGATTTGTATGGATTTGTTCAGCTCCCTAAGGTCGACGCAAATCCTGGGACTGCTATCCTTCTTGCAGATTACCATTGGAGAACACCATTCAGTACGCTCGTGGACCGGTGAAATTATTTCGTCCTTCTGCATCTTCTGTAAAACTTTATCGGCGTGATCGATGATGGGAATGGCGATCCGTCTAGGAGAAGGCACCGCGACCGCTTTTGCATCTGATTTCATAGTCAATTTTCACTTTCCAGGGATTTTCTTAATATCATCAAATAATTCGCGAAATTTCGACTTTACATCATACTGTGAAATAGTGCGATCGTTGAATACCCCGTCGATCCTCTTCACCAACCTTATTTTAACAGCTTCGTATTTCCCCAATAGGGGCTGATGAAGGTAATGAATGTAGCAGATATCTCCATATAGAGTCCTGTCCTAGTAGGTAAACGTACCCTGCTCAATTCCTTGGACATCCAACTGTTTTATCCGGACCTTTCTTGTCGGTTTATTCCATGTTCTGTCTCCGGCATACTTTAATAAGAGGGCTGTGACGTCACTACCTGTATCGATATTGAACTGGATATTCTTGCCGTTAACCTGTATCATCGCCATCCATTCGTCGTTAGGATTCCCGCCCTCGGCCATAGAAGTAATGTGTAGCACGTCTAGCTTTAGTTTATCTTTGGTTATCGTGCACACATTATTCTTGGATCTGCAGCTATTAGAGAAATCGCCTTTGTTTTCACACTTGGAACAAATAGCTCTTTGGCTGGACATGACTTGCGCTCATTCTTTTCACGGCCACACCATTGGCAGTTATGCCTGGAATTGAGGTTAGGTCGTGTATGAGATTTTTTGTTTTGCTTATCAACAGATTTTCTCACTGCCTGTGAATTTAGTGTTAGTGCCGTTTCTTTTAGGTGCCACGATTCGATTTACAGTTGATTGTTGAAGGCTTTTGACTTGCTTTCCTCCTCAGATTGTGTTGTCATCTTTACGGCTTTATCGAAGGTTAGAGTGTTGGCTAATTGCATTCGCTCGCTGAGTTTGTTGTCTGCGACGCCGACCACAATTCTGTCGCAAATAAACTCATCCTTCAAATTACCATAATTGCAGGTTATGTAATGCCGTAATGGAATCACTCGCCTATTTCCCGAGATTTTGGACACAAGTATGAAAGCGGGCCCTTTCATGAATTACGTTAGCCTTTGGTGCGAAGTGGTTGTCAAATTTCTGAATCAGAGTTTCGTACTGCTTCTCTTCATCATTCGTCAGACCGAATAACATAACCACGTCAGCTTTTTCTTTCATCAGATAGATCAACGTATTTACCTGTTCATCTTCTGAGACAGCTTTCAATTTTGATGCCATTCGAAACCTCTCGAGTCTATTTCGGCTAATCTCCACGAGCGTTCAAATCGCACGGATCTGGTACTGCGATGTTGTATGACGACGTCGCCACCGCCGCTGCCATTCCGGCGTCCAGCGTTTGTGTCTCGAGCGGCCTGAGGTCAGACCGTTACGATTGTTTTTGGCACGCTCGCTAGGTGGCGCCCCTTGTTTGACTATCATACAACAGAAATTTAATCAATATTAGTCGTGAGAAACCACGATATCAAGTAAGCACCATTCACGCCAACGTCAACGAAATTCACGACTTCTCGCGGGAGACCTTCACGATATTAGCCATGTGTACAACACATGATTACATGGACAGGGCCACGTGAGACTCGCAAGCCCAGCAATAGAGAGAACTATGGACCGGAAACGCGACATCAATACTGCTTGTACTCGCCGCGGGCAGTACGACAAGCCCTGATGCTGGCTGGCATCACATTGTACAGCAGGAAAACAGTGTCCTGTGATACAGTGTTCCTCGCCTTCTGCACCGCCTCACGCACAGCTTGCAGAGTTGTTGGGGGAGTCGCAGCACGGGCCAGGCGTTGGTTCATGTCCCACACATTCTCGATGGAGGCAAATCCGGTGAGCGTCCCGTCCGGGGCAGTTGACGAACATCACGGAGAGCGTGTTGCGTAGCGCGGGCTGTGTGAGGGCGGACATTGTCCTGCTGGAACCGCACACCACCATCCCGTTGCAATAGAGGTACCAGTACAGGCGGCACAACGTATTAGATGTATTCAGCGCTGGTCAATGATCCTTCCACAACTATCAAAGAGGAACGTTCGTTGTAGCTGATGTCACTTCATACCATCACTCTCAGGGTGGGCCCTATGTGACGACGACGAACACACTTCGGACGCACGCGCTCGCCTGGGCGGCGCCGCACAGGCACACGTCCTTCACTGGCGTGCAGACTAAATCGGTTCTCAACACTGAACACCACTGCAGGCCATTCCCAGCTGAACTGCACATTGCACCACGCCAGATGTTCCCGACGATGGTTCGGCGTAGATGGCAGTTGTGCTAGCGGTATGCGCGATTGTAAACATGCAGCAAGTTAAAGGTTCCCAACGGTGCGGGGGGGGGGACAATTTGGGGGTCACATGTGTCCAAGATCCAAGATTTTGGCTCGGCTGGCCGTACGGTCTTCCAACGCCGCCTTCAAGGTGCGTCGATCTTGACGTTCTTCAGTGCTCCGCGGTCCCCCAGAAATGGGTCTATATGTATACGGGAATGTACGTCTACCCATCGTCGCCAGCGCCGCTGAACCGACGTATCATCACTGCCCACGTGGTTAGCAATGCGCCGTAAGGACCACCCCGCTTCGGCAGGCCGACAATACGACCTTGCTCAAACTGGTCCATTTGCTTAAGGACGAACCAGTGAGACGCCGTGGCATAAATAAGGTCCGAATTCATAGTCGTCTCTTACACAGAGTGTTCCCTTAAGTGGACGAATCGTATTCATAAACAGTCCTTGAGTGAAGTCTTAAGTGAGCACTCATTCCTATAAGCAAGGCAACCTGCTCCCTTAAGTGTCCCTTATGGCTCCGTCGCATCGTCAGTCGTAACCAGTTTAGGTTATACTTTTACGTGGCGATCACCGACTATTAAATTCGTTTTGCTGGTCTTTGTATAGTGTAGGCAGTTAAAACCTGTCATTTGTGAAACGTGTTATGGGAAACGAGTTCAAAGATTATTTTCAGTTTTATACTCAACACATCCTGCGAAATTCGGAGAGATATATTAGAGAACCTATTGGAAATGTAGAATGATGAACAATTCCGAAAGCGGTTTCGTTTTAATAAAACTACTATAGTGGATACGCTTGTGCCGATGATCGACGAAGTCCCAATGACTAAAAGAGGATTGCCGTTTTCTCGCTTTTGCTCTCGTTGCATTAAGATGTTATGCAACTTCATACTTTCAGGAATGTTTCCAAAATTTTTAACTTTTATTCATTTCTGATTTATAAGACCTATTATAAGTAATTATGAATTTCGCAATGTGAATAACAAGTGAAGTAATTAAAATTATTGTAAAATGGAATTTATATGAATGCTATATAGGGTTGACATTTTCAATTACATGGAATGTTAATAATCCATTACCAATATTGGCAGACTTATGTTCATACCATGTTACCATACCACCACCTTATGTTCATTAGTTAGACTAGCATAACGTTGAGGAAACAATTGAAATTGATGTTAAGTATTATATTACAATCCAATAATGCACATAAATAATGTGTAGAAAATGCACAAGACATTGCAGAGATTCATTAAAATTTTGATACGAGGTTCATGGATTATATTTTTTACCAAACATTTCTTATTATAACGGATTTGTAATAAATACATGTTTAAAAATTAACATGATCCCGGTGTCAAACAGTCATTGAAATTATATGAGAATCATAGATTTATATTGTTACAAATCTGCTTGTTATTAGTGATTGGTCGTAATCACATTAGTAAAATATACCAACATCAAAACATCTCGTTTTTCTGTATGAGGACATGAGGTAGTACAAGTATTTCGTCGTGCGCGCGACGTCAACTCTACGATGGAGTGTCCACCCCAGTCCACCCCCTGTTAAATTGGACGCTCTTTGTACAAGATGAAGTGGGTATGTAAACTCGGTTGCTAAGAACTTTGAAACAGCTGCCGCCAATGCCATGTTACTACATTTCCCTTCCGCTTAAGGGTACACTCATTCCGCGGTCGTAAGGAACGTCTATGAAATATGACGACTATGAATTCGGCCCTAAGTCCCGTCTAGACTTAATCGCAGTGGTCATAGGTTTTTAAAGCCGCGGAGTAAGTGGCGCGTCCGGTCCATTGTCACGCTGCCATTGTCACCTGGCGTCAGCAATTCGTGAAATTTTAATCACTTATAGACTTCTAGCCTCCCACCCCCCACCATAACATCCCTTGTCGCCTACTTGACTGCTCGTGCTCTTGCAATACTTTTTTTTCCGCCAGAGTATATGCATCTATATTCTTTTCCTTCTATATGTAAACGATACGCCCTTGAAGATTCGAAAGGAAGAACAGTTCACTTTACGGATGATCGAATATCATTTGCAATAAACAAACCGTACATAGAGTATTATTAGATGTTTCAAATTGGTTCAAAAATTACAAATTAATAAGAAATGAAGATAAAACGGTTTCAATGTAGTTTTTCATTTCAAATATATAATTCTGTACTCCATTGAAAATGAACGGTGTACCATTAGCTGATGTTTAGTAACAAAATGTTTATAGCGTTGTATGATACACAAAGGGCGCCACCTTGCGAGCGCCATAAACTACCGCGACGGCCTGACTTCTGGCCTGTCGATGACAAGACACTGGACGCTGGACACGCGGTGACGAACGTGTTACGCTCGTCTCTTACTCAAACTGTATATCCAAAAGTTCGTAAAATAAATGCCATTTTGATTGAGTATCGTTTGTCATTATTCTAACAAAAATTTCAGTCTCAAAATACATGCCAATGACTATATAGATTTGAAAATAATGTTTATTTTATCCTGACGGGTAAACTGGTAATTTGACGTGTGGAGTCAAATTTATCACGGCTAAGTTAGCAATCTTCCATAAACCAATGATTATTTAGATTTAAAAATAAAGTTTATTATATCCTGGAGGCAGAAGGTCATTTGACGTCTAAAGTTAAGTTCATCTTGGTTAAGTTAGCAACCTTCTATCAAAAACAATAGACTAACATTCTCTGATCCAAAGAATAATCATCTTGCCTGATCTATTCCAGGCAAAAACTTATATATTTGGTCTGCCTCACAAACAGTACATATTTCGTGAAATTGAAAAGTGGCCCACAATGGGTGATAATCCGTTGAGAAGTCCGATTGATCGTTTCACGAACGCATTTGTGTCTTTCATTGAAGCTCCTGTAATATGGTTCAGAGGTACTTTCTTGATGGAAGAAATGCAATGGATTAACTTTGTATTCTTGATAAGAATCCTTTAAAGACAATAACATCTCTCGATTGATATTTCAGAGAAAGTGGTGGAACCTAATAGGCCGACTACCTATTGGTACCATCAGAAATTCCGTCGTGTGCCTACAATTGACGAGTGTTATACTGACGATATAGTTTGTTACACCGAAGCCAATCTCCAGTACAAGAGAGACAGGTAAAATTGAGAAATAGGAATTATATCATATACGATTTGTATTGGTGTTAACTAATTTGTGTCTCCACTTTTGATAGGATGGTAGAATCTGAAATAGTTAATATACTGCGACAACGCTATGAAGATTGCATTCTTTATGAATCACCAAATATTGAGAAGTGTAGACCTCTTCACGAGCAATACTTGAAAGAGTCTGAAAATTGGTTTATCAAGTGTGAGTAAATTATGGTTTTTGATTATGAATCAATCAGGAAAAATTATGTTGTAAACTCGCTAAAGATTATGTTTAGTGCATGACTAAAAAAAAAAATATATATATGTATATCTGGAATGGTCCACAAATGAATTAATTGAAACAGTTATATTTTCATAATTTAACCTGGGAAGTATAACCTAAGTAATTGTGTAAGGGTAACCTATGTAATTGTGTATTTATGTTTTCAAATGTTTGTATCTGTCAGAAACTTCAAATCTGCTTCAAATACTGAATTTGCCTGAAGTTTTCAACCAGGCAATCACAAGTGAGCAGTCAATTGCAAAGATCTTTCCTGGTTTAAAAACAATACAGTGAAACTGCTTACTAGTGGACAGATTTTGGTGGAATCAAATACTTTTTTAGACAGCCACCATTATAAAAAATTATAGGATGTAACATAATAGCATACTTAACACATTACAGGACTTCATGAAAAAAAGTTTTTTTTGCTAGCAATTGAGCAACAAAATACAAATGGCAATTCTCAAACCGTTTGACTGCAAAGATTAATAAATGTTGTTAACATTTTAATGTATTGGCATATTTTTCATTGTTTAAAAGATCACATTGATATTTCAGTAAAAATGGTTATGCAAAGCATAAAGTTTCTTGATGACATATGCAAAAATGTTTAGATGTCTGACAGCCTAAACCAGCAAAGTAACATTTTGTTGAGGTATCCAGGAAATATAGAATGGTAAAATGGGAAGATTTCAATCAATTGAAATACATTCTCAGAGTTCTTCCCTTCATATATCAGTAGAACCCTGCAAATCCAAAATTTCGGATTATCCAAACAACATTCAGGATGGAGGAAAAATAAACAAAACAAATAAAATGCTTATTTCTAGTGTATAGAAATAAATTTCAAATTACTGTAGAATTGAACAACTAATTATTGAAACACAAGTTGTCGAAATGAAATGTTTATTGCATTGGTAACTATGGTGTATATCACCTATTTATGTAACAGTAATTTTCAGTTAGAGGAATTTGCAGAATCTGTAATCATCTTTTGCCCTAAGAAACTGAATCTGCTTGATGACACGATGGCATTTTCTCACACCACATGCTACATTGCATTGTCTGGTAACTTATAGACTTATTTGTCTATGTATGGTACACTTTTCGAATAATCCAAATAGACTACATCCCCAATTAGTTTGGATTACTGCAGTTCTATTGTATGTATAGCTCAAGTACATTCCCACAGCATTATATGATATGGAAAGACTTTTTGAAATATATGCAGTTTCCAAGAACATGAATTCTTAACTAAATGTTTATGGTACACTGTGTTCTTAATTTATGTAAATAAAATTGAGACTTTGTCTGCAATTTCCAAAAAATTGCCTTTTTATAATCTCATGGGTTTATTTAGAGGTTAGTATAACCAATTCTATAGGTTTGACGATTTTTGTCTGCCTGCCTATTTGTCTTGTGTAATCTCTGCAACTCTTAAATATATAATTTTAAGTGTGTAATGGTTTTTTTTTTTTATTTGTTCTTTACTCAAACTCCGTTCCATACATACATGAGATAGACAGTTAAATAAAAATTTATTTAATTTTGTGTTTACAAAAGCTAGATGAACTAAAAATCTAAGTCATTGTTCACTGTTTTTTCTTTTTCTTTCTTACTATTTTGTCTAGGAGGTATCGGAACGCTATCCTAACATGTTCCGAAAGAAGTATGTGCAATTGCATGCTATTACTGGGTTCTTCCTTTACCATTATGAATATAAAGTTTAACCAAAAATTCATGTGAATGTATTTTAGATGGTGATTTAGGAGCGTATGGAGATGTGAAAGCAGCGTTTATGAAGCAGAAACATCGTATGGTTTGGGAGAGAAGACATGGTCCAGTTGGTACGGGCATGCGTGAAAATGCTGCCCAAGGTTAGACTTTACTACACGTTGTCTGTACAGTGATATTCGTTTGTAAGAAATATAGTACTTTATAGAGCATTTAAGTTTGGCTTTTATCTTTTGAATCCACCCTTTTAGACCTGCTGGAGTCCTACCATCAGGTTCACTGTTTAAGGTTGGCTGGTAACCCTTTGCGGACAGATGAGTTTTATAATGTAAATGTCCTACATGTCGAAGGGCATCCATGAAATGACATGGTGTGTATTACTCTTAGCTCGGAGCTTTCAAGAAAGTGGCTCGCCCTACAGGTCGGAAGGCATCTCTCAAATGGCAGCATTTACTCCGCGTTCCAGTCGAGCATCGAAGAGTAGACGGATGCTTTTCTTTGTAGTTATAGATATGATTTCCATCCAAGAAAGATAGTGTTGCAAATCGAAAATAATGGACTATTGAAATACAAATAAACACAATCTAATCAAATGTTTTGCCACACTCATTCGTGTCTTTCTCTTAGTGTGTGTTGCATATGTCTCACTACAGGGTGGTACCTCTATTTTGTAGCTGTAACTAAGTTGAAAATGGACAATTTAGAGGCTGCTGATATGTAGAAAAAGGGAAAATTATTCCTGCATACATTTAATCTTCAAATTAAAAATAAAACAAAAATTTTCTTGTGTTGTATTGGCTTTTTTATTTCTGAAATTATAGAATCAATAAATTTCACCGCTAAAGTACATCTAATTGGAACATGCATTTCATGATTAAAGAAAATATATTGTAATTTCTTGAATTTATTATTCAAATATCTAGTCAATTGTGAAGTTAAAGGAAAAATAACAATGGTCTATGATTAAAATTCAATGCTAGTTTAATAAAATGTAACTTGTCTGCTCATGAGACTGAAACAATGGCCAGGCCGACTATAGGGTGAAGCATGCAAATCCTCCAATATTTCTCGTGTAAACTGAGATCCCTCCGCCCTGTAGGACAACATTCATCAACTCAAGTTATCATCTCAGGCAAGGTTAACAAGAGCAAAGGGTTAATAATACAATCCTGTCAAGAGGGGTGGAAACAAAGAAAAATAGGGGAAGGGGAGGGGCATAATGGAAAATTTTATAGCTGCTGTAAGATAATAGAAAGAGGAGATTAAATTGATAGGTATTATGGACAACTTTTTGTTTTTTGACACAGTTTTGTCAAAACCTTTATAGTTGCTGGTGATAATGTGCTAATTGTAAATAACAAAGATAACTTACGCATCCCTAGGCGTTTGAATTACAAAGGATATCCGAAATTAAGAATATTTTAAATTTATAACCAAGAATCAGCATCACCAGCAACCTTATAACTATATATCTACTGCAATTGCAGTAGATACAAACCAAATCCATGGATTTTCAAAAATTTTCTTGTAAGATGTAATTTGGTTATGAGCAAGAAAATTATTGAACAACTCCACTATTTGAAGTTTCTAGGCTGTAACATTTCATTAGGAAGTTGATGTAGAAAATGGAACCTTATGACCTCTATGAAGAATTAAGGTAAGAAAACATGTCCTCCAAAAATGTTATAAATTATTAGCTGTGCCAACTGGTTTCATTGAAGTAAAATACAATGCCAAGTGCCACAGCAATTCACATTTCTGAAATTGTTTTTGAAGTCTATGTTGGTCTTTTCTTGAGAAGGAAAAATAAGAAAGATACAAGAAATTCATGGGATATTTATTTTAAATTATAAAAATAAGGGAGTAAAGAAAACCACGCAGAGGATGCATCATAAGAAGATAACCTAAGAAGTTGTATAATATCACTCCAAAGAACATTGTTCTGTAGGATGACCTCAGACAAGAAGGGAGGATAAGCAGTGGTTTTCCTTTCTGATTCTTGAGGACCCTCTTCCTCCTACCATTGTATGCTAGAGATGGAAGCTTATTAAAAAATAATCAATTGATATGTAACAATTAAATCATTCAGTATTAATTTTTCACATGAAATGCAAAAAATTTAAAATCATTACTTTTGCTGTAAAAATAAAGGAAAACTTTAGTTATTACACAATTTGGAATTATTTGATTACTGCAGTTAGAAGAGATCAATATTACATGTATTCACATAAGGCAAACGACTAAAGTCATGTTTAAAATGAAAATTTTCAGGAATCATTTACAACACCAACAACTATAATTTAATACATTCTCGGAGAAATGAAAACATTTTAGAGGAATTTAAGGAAATCTTTCTACTTTTTTCATTCCAAATATGCTATAACAAAAATTACAGAACATGATTAGTGACATTTTATTTTATCAATTAACACATGAACTACTAACTCAATCTGACTTTGCTAACGTCAGATAGATTGTTCGCCTCTATTAATTTTCTGCAGTCAGAGATGAGCATACAATGAATTTTGGTGAAGTTATGTCGAAAGAGGGCTATTTTTGTGTTTCTGCTTGACAATATTTGAATTAAAAAAATTATGGAATCTAATTTTTTGATTCCTTAATGGTTCGAAACCAGCCTTTTAAACTGAGAAATGTTCATTAAAAAATTTATTGTAAGTAAGTGTTTTCTGAAAGAATGGGATACCTTATGAGTGTGCTGTTATAAAATCTATTCTTGTTATGTTATAATTAATTGTCATTTCATTATACCTACTAATTTTAGAGACAATATATTCTCAATAAGAATGAGTAAAGTGTATTAACACCAATTAAAGTTAGTTTGTGAAGTCAGTTTATAAAAAACTAATTTTGAAAATTTGCCCAATTGATACGGTTACACTAAACAAATTCATCACTTTGTTTCTGGTACATTATTTGTCAAATTAAATAAATTGCTGGATAATGGCCTATGGTTGCTAGTCATCAATTGTTTCAGAATAATTTTATTATAATTAAGTGGTACATTGATAAATATTCAATAAAAAATGTTTTGTAATTAAAATACAACATTTATTAAAGGTATAGAGATTCACAATTTATTTGTTTTCTAGCAAAATAGTTTATTTTTTTGAATGAGAAAGGTTTAATTATTTATTCCAAGAAAAATCCTTGAAATTTTGGGCAGACATAACATAATCCCAAGTTATTGCAATAAAAATTAATGCATTCATTAAATAATTCTGAATATTAATCACCCTCAAACACTACCACAAAAACAAAAAAATAATAAAATGTTTTAAATTAACAGACAGAATTGTGCACCTTGATGGTCTGTGCTTTAGGCAGCACCACCCCTGAAAATATTTATCAGATTAACGTCACATACAACCATATATCTTCCAAAAAATGTTTTTTTTGGTTATGAGGCAAGTTTGAAAGATTTTATAATTTGACTACTGCATGTATCCAGGAAAGATCCCTTGTTGATACAACCTACAAGATTATTTAGCAAGTCATTTATTCCTTCAGAATCTTTGGGCAAAAAGTCTTTCAGACACCAACTATAAATTTCAACAACACAGAACTTGCAGAAGCTTTGTAAATTATTTACCCACCATTTTTTTCTTTATGGCAAGGCATGTTTATGGTCAGCTTGTAGGTTGCATTTAATATTTCAAGACATTTAGATATGTTAAAGTTTTAGAACCTTATGTTACATGTTTGATGTTTCAATTCTTGAATTATAAAATTTGGAGTAACTGGAAATGCCACTTCAGGTCAGAAACAGTATTTCTGTTGTTGGGCTTATAAATTCCTTATTTGTGATTATTAAGTGGACAGTTGAATGTAACCTCAACATATGCATTTGGAGAAACCAAGATTGTATTACAAAAATTAAATAATTTGTTTGAGGCAAATTAGATTTGAAATACTGCTCTTTGAATTATTTTAATGCTTACAATTCAAGTTCTTTTAATTGGAATGTGGCAAAAACCAATTCTGTAGCAAGGCTTTGTCTTCCAAGCCAATCTTCTCTTCGCAAACCTAAAATGTTTTGAACTTCTCTTCAGAAACCTCAGATTTTGGGTTATAAAAGGCATTATTGACAAACTTCACATTGGGGATATTCCTGGTTATTGTACTAAAGTACTTTGACATAACAATACTTACAGCCCATTTTTACAAGAAATCTGGTCACTGAAAATTTTTCAAACCACATGATAGGTATTAAGGTATAAAATTTGACACACTTGACAATTCAATGAAGATTTATTGTTCTCTGCAAGATTCAAGATACTAGACTCTTCCCAACTGCTACTTTGAATTGGCAGTGATTGTTTCATGAAACATACATTGATAATTCTAGAGAAAATGCTAAACCTGTGTTCGTTAAGTTTGGTAAGACAATTGACAATTATGTGAAGATTCGCAAAAACAAGTAGTTTTCTAGAGAAGGCAGGCTCATCTCCATTAATACTGATCTAATTGAGCAAATAATTTGTATGTATAGCTTAAACACACCGACTTAAATCGTACGATTTGTAAGGCTAAGGTACAAATATTTGACATTTCTGAAGATTAATTAAACAGATTTCTTACTTTTTTAAATAACATCCATATTTACCATTACACAATAAAGTATATTACTTCACTGTTGACCTCTTGACTAACTTCATAAAAATTTAAGAAGAATGAAATAGTGCACTGCATTTTTCCAGTGCTGATTCCTGTTTATAAAATTGTAGAAGAGATAAAAATGTTAAATTGTGAGTAGTATAATATGAATTATGTAATTTCATAAAAAACTAATTAGATTTGTTATCTATTATGAAAAATAATTACTCATGAGATCATCAGATTGGGATAAAGGAAGAATGTGAAACTGCTTCCATTAATGTCTTAGCTAGAATTTTATTTTTTACTTCCAGAGGTGTCAATTAACATTACTGGAATCTTCCAGTTTATGAAAGAATTTATGGTTGAATTCTGAAAAATTATCAACAAGATTAGATATTATAGAAGGGGAAAATATAAATGGGTAAGAATAACAAGGACAATGATATATGTAAAAACTTTCAGGAGCAGCAATTGCTTGTAATCTTACTATTTAGATTTGAAACAGTAAAGTTATCAAGTTTACCAGAAGTCTTCTGTAAAAGTTATTTGACACCTTTGGACTACATACTGCAAATTTCATTACAAAGGAAGAAAAATTACAACAATTCAACAAATAAAAAAATGTAGAATACATTGGTATATTGCAATACTGAAAGATTTGTTCCGTAACATTTAGTGAACATCAATCCACATCTTTCTATTGGCTGAGAAGGTAAAAAAAAGAGACTCATTAAAATAGCTTTAATAGTATATAAAAATATCACAATAGCTACTTAAACTTTTTGAGCACCAAAGAGAACTTCTTTAAAATGCTACTAGCATATCTCTTCATGGCCACAACAGTAAAAACTAGTAAAATTCGCATAGAGCATAAACCCCTTCACACACTAACACACACATGCATGTGCGAATGCACACACTTTCACACAAATGCTAGAGTGACTAGTTTGCACAATTCCCCCACCCCTCCCCCCCCCCAATATCTATCATTGCTATTTGTTTATTGCAAGAGCTAACAATTAACATGTACCTAACATTTATTTTAAAAATTCACATGTAACTCTTAAAATTTTACATCACAGTTCTCTACACATCTGATTGCTAAAATTGAACCAGGCAGTGGCAAAGTTAACTACAGTTTAGTGCTTATAAATAAAGATACTGTGCAAAAATACTGTTAAAAATATCACTATTTTGTTCACAACATTATACTCGCTTGGCAAGTATGAGTTATTAATTAAAATGCAACAATACGAAGGATGAAGTTCTCTTTCATACAATTATATAACTTCATTTAACTTTATTTGTTTCAGTATTTGTCGGGAAATCATTACGTTTATTGAAACTTGAACATTCTATTGTGAGCAAAGCAGTAATTGTGTGGAAAATCATATGCAAGTTTCTTTTCCTCACACCAGAAAGTAGATTTATGTTTCATTACATTACATTTGCACATTCAATAAGGTGCAATGACAAGCAAGTATCCCCTGCCTGAATTTTGATACATGAAATGCAATTATAAAATTTTTAACACCAACTTTTTACAATGGTTTTCCTGCACACAACTAAACAGCTCACTTTTAAGGACAAATACTTTTTAAGAACTACTTGTCACAAAAAGAAAGAAAATCCTTTACAGATCAGATATATTGTCAAATTCCAATTTTGCTTAATACAGTTCGTGTAACATTTCCGTTGAACTAAAAGACCGAATACCAATTTCTTGAATTCAGTAATTAACATTGAGCCTTTGAGAATGTAATGAAAATAAATCTGAAAAATCGAATGTTACTTCAAAACCTCAACATTCACAGTATGATCTTCCACGCCCTAAGATTGCTACTTTTAACAATTAGAACACAAAGGTCTCTTACCATTAAAATATCTGAAGTATTTATGTAAAAAAATATCACATCTATATGATCTTCAAGCACAGGCACCAGTGACAAAAATCACTTATTCAAAATACGAGATTTTTTTTTCAGTGCAAATGTCTGAAATGCATTTTTAAATACTGCACATTATTCAATTCATAATCAATGTTTCCACACACCAAGCAATATGTTGACCAAGCGGCAGGATTCGACAACCTCCCGTTTCCTAATGTGCATTTAGCATTAAGTTTTCAGAATTTCCATGAAAGATCAAATGAAAGTAAAATACCTCAGTTAATTTAAACATAATATAAAGTAAAGGATTTTTTTGAAGTTTTGAAACAGAAATTCTGTCACTGAACCATTTTCTTGACCCTTTCAAGAAAACTGAAAATTCATAACAAATGTTTTTGGTTTATTACAACCCAAACTAGCTGCTGAGCAACTGTTCCTCTTTATCAGAACAATGATTCTCCTAGTTCAATTGATTGAGAATTTTCTAATAATCTAATCAATACATATCTTGTGCTTCATGAGAAAGAAGAAAATAACTAAAATAAAAATAGAAAGCTATGAAAGTTTCAGCATTTGCGAAAGACACTGAAAACATACCAGTCATCATCCTTTCATACTATATAAAATTAGAAGATTCATACCAAATAAATTACTTCTTGAACAAACTTGCGTATTTTCACAAATAATATTGCAATTTGCTTAATTCATAATCCATATAAAATTAAAAATAATAAATAGTTTCATTAGAGCCACAAATGCCATACATGCTTAGGTAGTTTATAGTTTCATGGCAATTTATTACTAATCTGACCATTAAAATTTACTCAGGAACAGATTCATATGCTGCATGCACACTCCTTACCCTCAAATGACCTTTTAAAAAGCATCACCATCTTGCACACCCATTTCTTAAAAAGATAATATTGAACAACTCGTGCAGTATTCCAATTATCCTTTCACTTACATTAAAAATATACTATGGTACACATTGTAGCAAAATAAATTCAAAGTATTTGTTTTGTACAAAATACATCTTGTATATACATATATATATTTTAAAACATTTATTTGGTTATAACCCTTGAATCATTACGTTCAGAGCATTCCAAAATTAATGCCTCAATCTTTTTAAACTTATTGCAGTGCTGCTTATTAACATTTCATATACCAATTCACACCACACAATGTTATACACCTTGAAGTAAAAAAAAAAGAAAAAATTAAAACTTAATTGAAGATTTGACCTGCCAATATTATCTACACATATAGTACCAAAATGTATGTACCAAAAGTATGAAAATTATATGGACAAAAAATTAAAGGCATGTAATATGTGAATTTGCAAAGAAATTTTAACATTGCATCCACATTACAATAAATAATTTGATACTGCAAAGAATATATTAGGTACAGACAGGAATGCTGTGTAATGATTTATGGATTATATCCAATGCAAGAAATAAATGGTAACAGTCTCCAACCAGATAGCCCAGGGATGAGAAGAGGCAAGATTTAAGGCAAATCCAGTGGTGTTTGGAACTGAGCAGCAAGACGCCTCTTCACTGCAACAAAAAAGTGACATTTGGTAGGTGTGGGGGGAAAAAAAGTGGAGAATTAACATTATAGAAGTATTTTGTATGAAAATACTAATAAAAGCCTGCCTCAGCAAATGTAATTCTCATCAATAAGCTGGCCAAATTGGGACTTTAGGACCGAATTCGTTCTTGGATTAAATCTTAACAGTTAGAAAACAATACATTTACTTTAAAGTTTTTTCTTCCGATTCTTATATTGTTACATTAGGTGTCCCTCAAGGCTCTCATTAAGTCCCTCTATTTTTTATTCCCTTCAATAATGATCTTCCTTCAGTTATTAGAATTAGTTTATTGGAATACTTTGATTGCCGATGATAGCAAGATATTCTGCAAAATCTATAGTGTTGATGATGCAATCAGATTACACCAGGACTTGTTAGCTATTAATAGTACTTTCAGAATGACAATACTACATCCTAACAAAGGTTTTGCCATAACTTATGAAAGGAAAAGGGATTTGATATCCATACTCCTTCAATAGCAGCAATCTTATGGTTGTTGAGAATATAACAGATCTTAGAATCACTTTCGATAATATACCGAACTTTAATAAGCTTGTTTGCATTAAGTGAACATCAATTACCTTCCCGCAGTACCCCTCCGTGCCACCCTTTCAGTCGCCCCACATCCCAGAATGTCCCCAGTAGACGAGGGCTTCCCAGGGCTTAGAGAGTTACATTAATAACCGTTAAGATCCCTTCGCACAAATGCAATCCTGACCCACGTCCAAGATTGGCATATGCGGGAGATGAAGAAAGAAGGCGACGAACAGCCAATCAGACAGGAAAACTAAGAAAAGTTCTAGAAGCTAGACCATGTGACACATCGGCAATTAATACGGAGATTAGGAGCTAATGCGAGTCCCGCATTGCGGGATTTCTAAAGTTCAATTGGACGGGAGGATAAAAATAGGAGGAAAAAGGATATCAACTTCAACACCCACCAAAAGGATAACCTACATGTTCCCCACTCTGAAACGACACTTTATCAAAAAAGTACCCTAGAGGACATTGCACTTTACAACAAACTAGGCAATGATATCAAAGACATAAACACAATTCATATATTTAAAAGTAAATTGAAAGCTTTCCTGCTTAACAACATGTTCTATGGTGTAAAGGAATTTTCAAATTACATTTCCCTTAAAAAATGTAAATAAATAAGAATTTCTTATCCCATTAGACTTTCTGTTTCATGCATACTGTTTTGGTCTGAAGCAAAGAAAAAAGAACTGGCATATTGCATCCGGTTAAATAGAAGGAGAATGCCTGACAAAAAATCTGATCAAAACTTGCCTCCTCACCATTTCAAGTTTTTAATATAGAATGTACTACTACTGTTAAATTTGATGTAGTTGCAAACATAATTGATATGTATAGTTCCAATATTATTATTGTAATTATTAATATAATTATTATAAGTAGTAGCATTAAAATAACACCTTGAAATGTTAATTATTAGCAGATAATTTATCTACTGTATACTGTCTTAATCTAACTGCAACAAGTATTGTATTTCTAGGCCAATGACCCCATCTCGATCAGGTTTTGTAGTTTCCTGTCTTTGAGCAAATGCTGAGATGGCCCCTTGTTTGCTCCTGAACAGTAATGCAACTTCGCACTCTCACCCAAGGCATCATATTGACTCGTCTACACGATGTGTAATTGTATATGGACTCAATAAATATTATTATTATTATTATTATTATTATTATTATTATTATTATTATTATTATTATTATTATATGGGAACGAGACTGCGCGAGAGTAGGTCCACGAGGTATACTGCGATTTACCCAACTCTGTCCCTGGCAAGTATTAGGTGTTGACAGTTCCATCCAATCCGGAGCTTTAATGTCTCCAGTGACGATGATCCTTTTTAGATGACAGACATTTTTATGTCATTTCTTCAACTTGGCCGGCAAGTACTCGCTGCCAACTTCTACTCGTGATCGCGGATGGCAGTGACTGACACTACCGAAGTCTGCCAATATTTTGTACCTGAGACAGCGCGGACGCTGCAGTAACGCCATTATTGGACCTCTGGAGTGTCCTTCAAGGCCACTGGGTACCTGACCGCTCCCGAACTCCACGCCGCCGACACCCATCCTCGTCAGCCCTCGTAATACATGCAAATTGTAATTTGTTTTATGTAATTTCAAATTCAAATAAAGTGTAACGTAGTAGTGGTAGTGGCAGTAGAAGCAAGAGTTTCAGAAATAAGTAAGTGGATTCAGATGCGTATTTTGAGCACACCCGATCCAAATCACATCGAAAATCTAACCCAGATCCTGAAGACAGTCTCGGCTTTATCGAGAGTTAACCCGATAGAAATCTTCCGCTGCTGTCGAAGTTGGCGTAGAAGGTAAGTTGCTAGTGACTTCTTGCTGAGCACGCCTGGCGCCCAAGCCCTGACACGCTACGATCACGAGGGGGGGGGGGTCGTTACAATAAAATGATTACTTCCAGAGTACAGGGCCAAGTAAGCATTTGGTTGTTTGCATTTGAATGAAGTTACACCCACCAACATTAACAGAAAACTTGAATATACACAGTTGGGAGTTCTAATAGTAACCCAAGTAAAATAAGAATTATACTTGGGTTTCTATTTCTTGGCGTGTGAGGGCCTGTCTTCACGATGAAATATCTCAAGGCATTTCGCGTCTTTCTTGGTCGTGCCGCTAGATTTCACATGATCGCCAGCACTGCTTCACACAGTCGCGAACATGTGACATTAGCCGCACGATAAATGCGCGAAATGTAAGATATTCCATCGTGATGACAGACCAAGAAATAAAAACCCAATTATAATATGTTTATCAACTTCTTTGAATTTAAATATAATTATAAACCCAAGGTATCTCAGCCATGTAATGTCAGCAAATGACATGACAAATATTTTATGACAATCGTTTTATTTATTGTGATATTTCAATTATAAAAAAAGATACATGTGAAAATAAAATACGATACAAAGAGAGAAAATGTAGGTCGTGAGAGGGCGGTAGAGGGGGCTGAGCTTTTTGTTTAGCGGGGAAGACCCTTTACCGACCGCCGCTAGAGGACAACCCCCCCCCCCCTTTCCTACTTACAAAAGAATTCCTTTCCACGACAGCGGCCCATTAGCACGCTGGAAAGAGACGGGAGGATCAAAACGATCGCTACTAGTGGAAATCAGCAATCATCCGGAACGAGTCCAGCGGCCAGCGCGTGAGCCCGTATAAATCATTATATACGTCTTAGCGCACAACGGCAGGCACCCAGAAATTAAGACAGGCGCAAGTGTTCTCCCACGGCGAGAGAGGGCGAAGTGCACAGTTAAGAACCAAAATTTGAGCGGCTCAATGCGAAATCACGTTCCAATTACAAAAAGAAACCGCGACCACTATTGGATAAGAACGAGAGTCGAAATTTGGATAGATGGAAGGGGATTCTGCAGCTGAGCACGTGAGGAGTGATCACGTTTCGAAGAGACGAATGATAGACTTTGTTGAGAACGGACGCGAGAGAATTACAAGCTTCGCGGAGAGCGGAGGTTAGAGAGACTTGTAAAATTTCGCTAAGACCGAACGCATGAGAATTCGATGAACTTTATCCGGAGCTAATGTGCGAGGGAGTAGCTGTTATTTAAAGCAGTTACGAGAGAGATATACCGGTGTGTCACTACGAAAGACTGTTCATTTCGCACTATAAATGATTCGGCCTCAAGTCAAGGTGAATAGTTCGCGGAATAGACAAATCTCGCACCACTGTGAGGGCGGACAATACCAAAACTTGTGTGGGTGGCAGAACAAGTACCAGCTCCGGTTTGGGACCTGAGCACCTTGACAACTGGTCAATGCACTGGAGGTCAACCGTGGGATTCACCGCGCGGTGGCGCCATCAGGCGACGGTTCTCTCCAAGTTGTGAACACAGGTCAACGCTCGAATCCATGGCTGCCCAAAAATAAAACTTCACGGATGAAAATGGTATGTGAAAAATCATTACTCTTCTTACTTGAATCAGGTTAACGTCATGGAGTAGTAACAATAATTAGTGATTATGACAATATCGGCCTAATTAATGCATCCAAATTTCTAATTAACGGAAAAGACCCAAGTTAAAATCAATAACGATTTATCATTTAAAACTAACTTCCTACAAGGTAGGCGTCTGTGCCAAGCCGAGAAACATCCCTTCGACGGCTGCGCTGCGTAACCGATGTCGTCGTACTCTCACCATGTGCGATATGACGTTGGCAGTCGCTTCTCTGACTTCTCATCGGCGCTTTGTATTCCCCCCACCAAAGGTTCGCCATCGCCTCTTTTGAGCACCTTTCTTCTTTCAGTAGGACTGGGTTCCCCAGTTGTCACGTGCTAACAACTGGTGACTCCATAGTGGGTTCGGAGGGGGGGGGGGATCTTGACCTCTCTACACACGCATACACGTACACATGTGAGCCAACTATCCTAATCCAGTACGTTTAGGAGAAGTGGGCTGTCAGTACTGACAAACAACCGCACGCAGCTGAAGTTCTTTGCTGCCCGTTTCACGTTAACTGTGGGTTGTTGCGAAAGTGAATAGTTTTTCTTGAAACTACATTTTCGAGAATAACCTGTCCACAAAGAAAAATTTTGAAATGAACAGTTTTGAAATTAACGCGATAATTAGACGCCAACAACTTTCGCGAGAAAAGATGCGACATGGCAAGCACATGGTTGGATGTTGAAAAGTGCAAGGTTTCCAGAATGCCGTACCTCCAAGTGTTGTAGGCATATTCAATGTCACATAGTAAGTCAGCAAGGGGTGTTTCCTTAAGACGTAAGAGATAGAAAGGAAATGGCTCAATAAAAAGGTGAAAAGGCAGTTTACAGTACTCGCTCATACCAACCCCTACCTTCTCGCTGCTATCACACAACTATCCAGCAACAAAGAAATGCATACTAAAAAGTCTCGCCATTCACGCAGTGAACATCTGATCAGAACAGCCTCCCTGCCGAATGGTATAAAATGAAACAAAGCTTTGCTGTCAATGGCTATGACAGGACCAATGACAAACAGGGCCCTAAAATTCGCTTTCCCGCACCACAGTTGCAGAGTCCAAGACAACAGCCACTCTACCTTCCATCAAGGGCATAACTGACAATTGGCAAAGTCCTACAACATTTCCAGGTCAGGATTGTCTTTAGGGAGTACCAGAAGCTAGCACAGACTTCTATTTGGATCAAGGACCAACTTCCACCTCTCCAAATGGCAGGAGTTTATTCCATCTCGTGCAGCTACAGTCACAATAACATTGGTGAGATTGGCGTAACAGTGGAAGAAAGAATTTAGGTGCAGATTCGCCATTTCAAATTCAGGAATGTACAACGCTCTGATGTAATACTACATGCACGGAGAACCAGCTGCAACTTCCATTTTGAAGAAACCTGAGGTATTAGCCATTCAGAACCAGGCAGATCAATGAATTCCTGAAGATTGCCAAACTTGTTCTCTCCACATCAAAAGTGATGCGTGGTTATGACTGATGCTTGGCTAACAGCGTTCTGGAGAATCAAGAACTAGGAGACCGCTTCTCAGGACTGTTCTTTTCTGTCCCATGCTGTCCAATCTCACCCCCTCCTGGACCCTCATGATTGTCCAGCAAACTAGCCAACCAAATCCTGATCCCTACATAACCACACAGTATAAAAATGTGAACGCCCACCATCCTGGCACACTCCAGCCCTGGCCATGATGTGATAGTTGAAACATTGGCACCATTGTCCTCGACACAGCATCTCCCAGATAGCAATGGGAGCCTTCACAGAAGTTAAGCACTATTGAAATGTGCACGCACTCCGTCCACATCATGAAGACGGCCACCTGAGAGGTCTACATTAGTTGAAATGTCAAACAGTCAGTGTTGCACGATCCATTGAGGGGCTAAGCAAACCCATGACCTAGACAATGTGGATGATGGCAGGAAAATGGTTGCTTCCATACAGATAATCTAATATGGTCCACTGTGAAACAGTTGCAAGTGAAATGCTGTAAAGTGCTATATCAATAGAAGTTCTTTAATTCGTAGCTGAGATAAAATGTACTTTGTTCACCCATATTGAGAATCACCAGGTTAGTAGTGTACTGTTTCAAAATGGCTTCTCTCTGACAAGAACGAGAAAAACCTCAAATAGAGCAGTTATGTTAACAATTATGAAAGATTTGAGCCATTGGATGAAAATATTATAGTCAGTGAGCGTGAGGGGGGAGGTGCGCACATGGACCCCCTTTCCCGAAAACGCTGCTTGCAGATAGGTCAAACTGTATCTCTTTAGAAAGCAGCTGTGTCTTAAAGCAAAGTAGCAACTCCAATTGTGAATCATGAGCGTGGAGGCAGTCATTGACATTGACCCTATAAGGGGTAAAACCGTAAGAGAGATGGGTGCATGGTGGAACTAAATGTCACTACTGTAAACTGATTGTTGAACGCACATGACAGAACAGTTTAAGTTCATTCCCTACACTGATCATTTCATTGCTAGTACACATTACTCAAATGGCCCCTGTATCTGCATCAGCCCCAAACTTGTTGGGAATCTGTATCACAGATGCATAGCCTTCGTAATATATCAATATTTGGCCGCAGTCTTAATTGCCATTTAAGTTAGGTGGTATGGCCCAACACACTTGCCTGAAAAAGTTTGTAGAGTATAATGCACAACATTACAAATTAATTCAAAGTAAGAAAAGAAACAAATAGTTGTGCGAGAAAGAAAATGAAGGATTTTTGTAGAACACTTGTTCAAGATTGTGGGGGAAGTGCAAGAACACTTAGTTTTTTGTAGCTTAGGCGTAAATAGATTAACACACCTACTGACTCATTCACACACTTAGAAGGGAAGCAAGAGTGGTTTACATACAGTTTAGGGCAAGGAGTGGATGCAACATAGATTGAAAGACAAACAACAATGATACTTGCATGATCTGCAGCAATATTGAAGACTGGGCCTACATCCTTCCTACATTAGGAAAATGTCTAGGAAAGTTTTGGACTATTAGGGAAATTGTGATTAGGGAGTGAGAAACTAGCACTGATTAGTAGAATGTGTAGAGCCTAGACTCGAGAGAAAGGTAATCAACACCTGAGGGGAATGGGAGTGGATGTCTAAAAATTTAGCACAAAGGTAAGGGTGAGGACAATTTTTTATGGTGCTGTTCATTTCAGACACTGAGGAAGCCAAAGATTGGAAGAAGAATACATGATGTCTGTGCCAGGAAATAAATAAAGAAACAGTTTAGAAAGAGAGTTTTAGATCAGCATGCACTATTCTTCAGTCAGCAGATTTTCCCCTACAGGGTGTTTTCCTTAACTTAACCACACAGTCTTTCCTGGGGCTTTGATGTGATGGAGTGACCATCTGGGGTGAATACCAAAATTATGAGGTTACAATGCTTTAGGAAGTAGGTATTGAAATAACTTAAACGATTTTGGTGTAGCCACATAGTTTAAGATTACGTAATTTAATTTACATGTGCAATTAAATAAAACTGACATGCTAAACTTCACTACACATTGAAAAATAAGACTGGATATCTTCTTTCTGTATTCTCATAACCTTGAAGTGGCCTACTGTGTTCATGGTTATTTTTATTTGTAATCAATAGCAACTGCTAAAGATTTGTCTGTATGCATTGATGTCTCTGTAGATGTTGAATTGCAATTTCATTTGGGCCCATTCATGTCTGTCAATACAAAGTCAGTCTGTCCTATTTTATGGCACAAAACAGTGAGATTGCCCATTATTTGCTTCTAGAAAGTAGATTTTCTCCCTCCCTCCAAAAACAGTTATTTTGATTCATTTAAACAAATGAACTCATTGAAGAAAGCTTACCTTTAGTCCTATTTGGAGTACTACTACTGCTGCTTTCATTCAGTGATGAAGTCTGCTGTGCTTCTTGAGGCACAAGTAATGGTGCTGCCAAGCTCAACTGGGGGAGAGGTAAAGTGCTTGGTTCTGGGGAGGCAACATGTCCAGGTAGGAAAGGTGGATATGAATATAAAGGAGGCAAAGGACTCATCACTAATTTGGAAGAATTTCTTTGAGATGAGAAGGCAGGTAGCAAATTACTTGAGGGAGACAACATTGCTGCAGGTGAATCAGTTTCTTTTAGTTGAGGGAATATCCGCTGACTCCACGGACCCTAGGTAAGAAATGATTAACATTAGCAAGGGTTCATTTCATTATCAAAAACCAAATAGTTACTGTACACAGAAACACATTATAAATTAATAAATGCTTAAAATGGAAAATCTGCATGCAAAGAATAAATTTACATTACACAAAGCAACAATGAAAACATTCTTTATTACAATATTTCAAAAGCAAGTCAAGATAGGAATCTGTTGCACAAAAACTTTTGAATAGGTGATGATACATTATTACAGCCTCATAGTGCATTAATGATAGAATGATAGGTAGAATAGAAAGAAAGGGGCTCAACTCCATTTATTAAAAACTATATGCCATTTAAAAACTAGGAGATACAACAGCACATATTGTCTCACCTTATCAAAAATGGTTACACAATATAGAAATATTATAATTTCTGCCACACTAAAAACTCTGTAATAAGTTGAAAAAGTCCAATTCAAATGAAATGTCTAGGGTGCATAATTGCGTTTATTTCGAAAGCCAGGAACAGAAGTCCTTTTGAACTTTTCAAATAACACAAACATGAAAAAAATATAACTATTAGACTACTTGCAGCACATTATACAGAAAAGAAATAATTCACACAAACTTGCCTATAGTACATAGAACTGAGCTAACAATTTCTGAATACGTATCTAGTATACGTATCAATTTCTGAATGTAATCTACATCATTCGACTAACATGAGCAGCAACAATCACAAAAATCCTAAGAATTTCCGGCCACTGTGTTGCCATGTTACAAACTGACAATTCGTCAAACAAAGTAGGAGAAATCGAACTTAAAACACTTTCTTTATTGTTATACGTGTTATCCTTATTGTTATAAGTGAAACAAATTTGAAGAAAAAATGTGGAGCCGTTTTTGAGAAAAACGGCTATTTTAAATTTAAAAACACCCTATGCTTCATGCAAAATTACAAATGTGAGAGCAAAGAGAGAGTGAGAACAAAGAAACCCTCCACCCTGTTTTCAATAATTTGAACACAACCATATTTCAAGATCTGTTTTTGATGAACATTTCATTAACGGGGGGAAATTCTACGTAATTGGAGTTGCGTTGTTACGTTGGGAGTACTTAGTTGGAGGCAGTCCATTATGAGAGAACAATGAAAAAGAATGAAAAATAATTATATATGGGGGTCAAAGGGGAGGGGTCAGACTCCTCCAGAAGATGGCAGCTTCATCAAAGAAGAGAAGACTGCTCCTCAAAGGGTAGGGGAGGCTCTCCAGGTGAAACTGACTTCCCTATAGGAGAAAACCCTGATGGCTCAGAAACAGTGAAGTGGCAGCCCCACTACTGGAATTACCCGGACGGTGCCTGTAACACTGTCAGGAGACATTTAAATTACTAAAAATCTTCATATAGATAAGGTGGATAAATCCCATTACAACAACATAAGGGAGAAAAGGGCAAGCGATTCGGAATAAAGGATAGATTAAAAGTTGCCACACGGAACGTAAGAGGTTTAGGGGCGACGGCGACCAGATTACTCAAAGCTCAAGCAATATTAGTTTTAACATTTTCATCAACACGAAAATGTTCTTGTCAATTAGGCAATTGGCAGTGTTATTTTGACAAACTAGTAAGAATAAGTTAAAAATAGAAAATTAAGAAAGAAATGCAGAGGCCTCTTTCGAATTAGGGGGTTGTCTTTTATTCTGAGTCTGCTTACATTTGGGTAATACAGTACTATTACAATGATGCTGCAAGTTATGATCAACATACCCAAAAAATAATATCTTTCATTTAGTAGCCTACGACATGATTGGGGTAAATAGACAATGAACTCCCTTTCCTAAGTACATTTAGGAGACAGTTTCTTTTCAGTTCATGTTCCGTGAAAACTACTTTATTGTAAGGACATTTAGAGAGCTTAGAAGAACTTATTATGAACAACAATTTGGAAATTGACACCTGAGCACATTTAAAAGCATAATTGATTTAAGGCAAAATCGTGACATGACTGTTTCACACTTTGAAGATGTGATTTTTTGTGAAAAAGTGGGTCAAGTCTATTGGCCTTGAACCCATGATGTACATTTCTAAATGTTGTCTTTTTTACAGAGGAAAAATTCACAAATCAATGAGAAGTTTCCTTAATATATGCACAAATTGTTTAAAATTTTCTTTCCAGGAGAGCAAAAAACAAAAACAATACATAGATTAAACGTGTATCATAAAAACATTCAATCTAGAGAAAGATTTATATAATAAAACTATATAGTTGAAGAGAGCCTTCATCTTGAGCTGAGGCAATGTGCGTTTCAAAGAATTTCAGTGAAGGGAATCAAACTGAAGGCAGAACTCAGAAGCCATAAGAACAAATTAAGGTAAAACATATCATTCACCAACTTCCTATCTAGTCTATAACCTTTTGTCTGCAATACTTCCTTTCCACAAAGACATTTCATTCCACAAGACTACACTATTCCATAAGACAAACTTTTGCGCCCATCATCTGATACATACAAAAATCACAGAAACAAAACAATGGGACAAACTTTCCAAAAACACTTCTAATTTGATCTTTTGGTTAAACAGCACAATATTCTGTTAATTTGTCTGTCCTTAACAACATTTGTGAGCAGCAGTAAGGACAGCATTGCTACATGGAGGGAGGGAATGGTTTTTGACCTAGATTCCTTTTCTTGCAATATGTTCTAGTGATATAAACATTTTATTATTTTGGCACATTTGTGTCATAGTGTTGCATTGAAGAATCGTCTATCTCATAAATGTACAAACTTAATTTACAGGTCAATGCAACTTTTATTCCGGGATGCTAGGGCCTAATTCCAGTTATTTAAACACTTGCATAATTGCCTTGCTATCTTGTTCACAGAAGCTTAAACTGCATGTATAATATTTTACTGTATTGTTGGCCTTCAAGTAATAAAGTACAACATGTTGCACTTTATTACTTGAAGGCCATCATTCAATTATGCGGAATATGTTATTTAGACTCATTTTTATTGTACCAAAGCAATTCCAAATAAACTATTTTAAATAGAAAAACTGAATTAGGAGAAGACAAAATTGGAAGCACATAAAGGTGGTGTTCCTTACATTTCTATGTATTTCATGTGGCTGTTACAAAATCAGTATAAACATTATAGAAGTGTGGCTTTAGATAGAAAAATTATGAATGACTAAATGTGTTGAGAAATAAAAAAAGCAAATATGCTAGTTACTATAATTCACTGCAAGTCAAGTCATACCTTGTAAGGTGAATAGCAAGGGGGACTGTCTGCACACCAAACAGAAGACACGTCAGGAAAGAATTCACGCCAGTTTTCCTGAAGCATATATGTGGGCATGCAGCAAAGTCATCTCCATGAACATGGAAATGTTGACCATGCAAAAGAATAACAAGCTGCCTCGTGCATTCTAAACAAGCTCTGAATTCATGCATATTCTATCTCATATTACACAAGCAAGATGATACCAGCCAGAGGAGAACAATTCCCAGAGATCAGGATCGCTTTCTTTTGTCATATACCAGTAGTAAAGAGGAATTTTTCCAACTCTACTCTTTAACTACCAAATATCAAATTCAGCCTTTTGTTTGGTCATCACATCTCGTTTTCAAAGAGATTTCCAAGAGAAAATAATATGCTTAGTTTGTTATACATTATCCTCACCTTCCCAGGAGTGCTTTGCTTTGGGTGTCCTACAGGATCAAATTCATTCATGGTACCAAGATCTGAAAGGGCTTCAGATGCACTACTTTTCTCTGAAGATAGAGCCTTAGAACCTGCAAACAAAATTAATCTTTTAACTTTAGCATATGGACACACCTTTTTCAATTACTGAAACAATAATATGATGAAAAATAATATAAGGCCATATTTTCTTTTCACAAAATAAAGTTTCAAGCCCATGAGTTTAAGATAAAAACCAACTGAACATAATGTAAATAAAATAGAGCTCACAAGTTTGAAAACAACACCCTAGCATAACATTTCTGTAGACAAATGCATGAAAGTTGGGAGTAGCAATATGTACAGAAAAAAATAACCCGTGGTCTTTAGAAATTAAATGGTTAAGTAAGTATTGTAATGAACTGGTTTTGGAAGTAGCTGAAATTAATCCAAGCACGGAAAGAGAAGTAGAAATTAAAATCTTGAGAAAATACAGATCTACAAATGCAGACACTGCAGATTTCATGAAAAAGTCTGAAGGGCTGCTAAATAAACTAGATAAACATAACAGTAAAATAGTGGTAGTATGAGAATTGACAGTGTTTCCATTCATGACATTATATTATAACCTTCAAAAATTATAGAAACTCCACATACAGACTGAATACACAGATCAGAAACTATTTACAGACTGAATATGTCAACTTAGATGTTTACAATTGTGTGTGTGTGTGTGTGTGTGTGTGTGTGTGCGTGCGTGTGTGTGTGGGCGCACGCGGGAGTACACAGTTCCCGATGATTATATTGATACTCTGATTAATTGTAGTCATACTGATATTTCTCAAATGGATGTAATGTAAGCTATTTAAAATCTTAATGATCAGGGAGGCGTAGGTCTTGATGGAATTGCACCATTATTTATTAAAAGTTGTATAGTAAACTTAACGATACTACATTATTTGTTCTTCAAATCTTTAGAAGATTTACTAGCCGCATCTTGGCAAAAAGATTTATAATTTATTTATAAAACCTCTGATTGTTCCAATATTCAAAATTGGAAACCGATATCAAAACTTAACATCACCCCTAAACTCTTTAAAAGATTGTGGACAAACTGCCTAAGCAACTATAAGATTTTATTAAATGAACATGGTTTTAGGGCAAAAAAATCTACAACTAATTTGTAATTTTCCAATATTATACAGTAGAAAACCTTGAGAAAATGTAAAATTATGAATTATACCAAACTGAGAAAGCCATTTAACTTTGATTATAAAGTAAATAACTCAACTGTTGGTTAGGTCACTAGATTATAGATTAGGAGTAGTTTTTGACAAAATTTTTAAATTTAATTTCCACACTGAATATTATTATCAAATGTAAATGGATGCTTGGTTTCATTAAATTAACAACTTTCATACCTTACACCCCACATTAATTCAACCAATACTGCTTTATGCTTCCCTGGTATGGTCTCCATATTATAATAATTATGTTAAGAGATTGGAGATAGTACAAGTTTTTTCTTACATTGCATGGCAAATAATTACATTGTCTACAATAACTCATTTAGAATGGTAGCAATAGGAGGGTAATTATAAGTATTAGCACATTACATTATTATCAAGGGTGGTCATTACAACATTGTTACAGGTCATTATCAACATTGTTTTATGAGCAGTGTTCCTGTCCTGCTAATGGGTACTAAAGCAGTATTCCTTCATGTGGTGAAGTGTTCCTGCTGATGCCATTATCTTTGTTGGTCTGCGTCTATCGCACATGCCGTTTGATCTAGAATTTATAGCCATCTGTGGTAGATTTCATTTGTCCATTTTTTCACGCATTTTCTCCATTTCTTTTGGTAATTTTTGGTTTCTTTTACTAGGTTTCCTGTTTTTAGTTCTTTCCTAATTGTTTCACTTTAAATTTTGTCCCTGCTTGTTACTTCTAACATTGCCCTTAGAAACTTTATCTGAGCTACTACTATGCTTTTGGTTTCCTTCATGCCCATTATCCACATTTTTGAACCATTGGTTTTGAAGTAATATTATGGATTCTCATAATTATTTCTTTTTTCATTTGTTTAAAATGCCTCTATTGTTCCATTGTTTCTATTATATTTTTGTATTTTTCCCCCTATATTCCCTAGAACCAGAAAGTTCAATGCAATTGAATTTACGAGATATTTAAAAGTGTTAACTTGTTCAATTATTTAATTATATGTTACTATTTCAGCTCTAAGATGTTCTTTTCCATAGATGGCTAGTGTTTTAGTTTTCTGGCTTGATATTTTCATTTGGTATTCTTTGCTTATTTCGCTTAATTTGAAGGCTGCTTTCTGTAGTGTCTTGTGTGTCTTGTTGTAACTTTGTTGTCTGTGAACAACATTGACCTTAATATCCGATTGTTATCTTTATTCCTTCTTGATTTGTGTGTTTCCATGTTTTCATTATGTAATTTAACCCATTAGTGTTTATCAGGACATAAAATATGTGAATCACTGTTTGAATTCACACATGTTTAATTGCTGAAATGGACAAGTTTAAATTTGTTTCGTTCATATCTCTTATTTAATATCCACAAATTCCGATTTGTTAGAGAAGTTGCACTGATCCACCACAGACAAGAAATAAGTTTATTTTTCAGAATGTTTTTGTTTGCCGTTTGAGATAACATGGACGAAGAGTAACTAACACTTGAAAATTATGGAATCACAGAAATTAATTTGTAATAGTATTATAAATGACTTAACAATCTGTATTTTTCTTGAATGAATTACATCTCATTGTTGGAAATTAACTTGAAAAATTTACTGTACCTTTTATAGTATGCTAAGCACTAATCTTTTGACAAAATGCTGATAATGTTTACACATTTTGTCAATTATCAATATTGTTATTGTAATTGTTGCTGTTATTGTTATTATTATTATTATTATTATTATTATAATAATAAAAAAATCATATTTAGAGTTTATCAAATATTATTTCACATGCTAATTGGGGTGGGTTACATAGCCTTTGAGGTATTATTTATTACATTAGATGCAATGCTTTTTTCTAGTAGTTACCAAAACTATACGTTTTTGAAAACTAACATTTATTCAAATTATTAGTTTTGTTTGTTTTATAATGATGGTACTTTCAGTGGATATACTATTTGAGGAAGCACATGATGAAGCAGTTTTCATTGTTTCATGAATTTTTCAAAACATTTCTCACCAGAAAATAATTTGTCCAACGACAAAAGAATGGTGAGGTATTTTGGCAGGCATGGTCTCAAGCAAACTTTGAAATATATCAGAGAAAGTCTACAAGAGCTAATTCCAAGGCAGACAAAACATTTGGCAAATGAACAGCTCTACTAGTAGAAATGATAAACAGTACGATACCTAAAGGGAAAAACCTGCCGTTTGTATTTTGACAACTGGTTCACAAGTTTCAACTAGTTAATCCACTTAAGAAAAAACAGATCTTGGGTTACAGACATATACAGTAAGAGAAAATCGAATACCAAAGAACTGTCCACTACTAAGCAAGAGAAATTTTGAGGGAGGAAAGAGGTCATTCAAATTTTCATATAGAAGTAGGGCAGGTGTATTGCAAAAAGTATTCTGGGTCCCCCCAAATGGGCAGACTAAACACCAATGGTAAACAGATGACGCACATTTTTAATGTTAGGCTCATTACATACAAAACATTCCAGACGAGAAGAGGAGACAGTTCCAAATGCAGCACTAACGCTCAAACACCATGCATATATTGGGATGTTGGCATGTGTGAAGATTGTTTTGTTGAGAATCATAGATGATAAGAGTATTTTCTTCAATTTGAATTAATATCAGTATTTTTCACTTAAATGTAGTGTGTTTCATTTTCATGAATAAATAATGTATACAAATTCCAATTTATTTTGCTATCAGCACTTAGTGTACCATTTATGGTACAGGGCATATCTATCTGCCGAGTCATGAATTTCTTTTTATCATATTAAAATATTTCATCAAATAAATATGATCAAGTTCAATGTCTAATACTGTGAAAAATCAAGAAAAAATATTCTGGGCACTAACGGGTTAAGTAAAAGTTAAAGAGCAGTATAAGAATATTTGATCGAAAATGTGCAGAGCCTGTACGGAGATTCCAAAACCCAGCAGATCAACTGGGTGTGTATTTTTTTTGCTTATTTGAGTGTTTGCTGAATTTGTTGCGGCTAAATACTGTCTCCTACTTATGGAGTGTTGAGCACACTATGTAGTAAACCTCTGTTAACATTTACAATTATTGGAGTAATCCTCCATTACAAGCACCCTCCAGGGGCCGCTGTGTAATCGTAATCGTGTCGGGGAATTGCAGAGATGTTACATCTTTGCGCTCACGGGTGCCTTGCGTCACCTACCCATTCGCAAGTTCGAAGGAATAAGGATTAGGGGTAAGGTTTAGAATACTTCACAGTGGTTGGATTAGCCCCTGTGAAGCAGGCAAACTCATTTTGTCATAGCAAATTTCACATGAGGTTCTACGGGGAATCTATGGGAATGAACTTTAAATCCTTTATCTTAGACCTTAGTTGATGTTCCGCTGGGTTTTGGAATCTTCATGCAGGCTCTACACATTTTTTTAAAGAAATATTCTTCTACTGTTTCTTCTTTCAGAATTTCCCAAAACTCCTGCCTATTCCCATTGTCATAAGCCTTTTCATAGTTAATTAACAGTGTATATGTTGGTAAGTTATGTTCTTTCTTTTTTTCTATAATCCTATTTTGATTAGTCTATCTTATTAGGTTTGCAAATATTTCTGTCACTGATACCATGCTATGCATCTATAGTTGTTACAACTCTTCCTTTTTTGAAGATGATGTACACTATTTAAGTCTTCCATCTAAGGGTACTGTTTTATGTTTCTTCATTTCATTTATTAGTTTTAGTAATTGGACTTTTAGTTCCTGTCCTCCATATTTTATCATTTCTGGTTTTATCCCATTTATTCCTGCTCCTTTTCTATTATTCAGGTTGCCTGTTATGTTTTCTAGTTCTTCCATTACTATTTCTTACTCCTCTTCCCCTTCTGATATTTTTACCACATTGTACCTTCTTATTCTGGATCATACCATTATCTTTTGTAGTGCTCCTCCTACTTTCTATTAGGTTTCTGTTTCAGTAATTCACAGTTGTTTCAGAATTTTATATCTTACTCTTTGTGGTCCTGTGAAGTCCTCTCCAGTTGTTTCACATTTGTCCCAATCATCCTTATTTCACAGGTTGTCTTCCTAACTTTTGTTCCTTTTTTTTTGGGGGGGGGGNNNGGGGGGGGTATACGATTTGATCCTCTACAGTCTATGTAAGAATTTTTGGTAAGATTTTTCAGTCTTTTGTTCTTTTGGTAACTAGTTCCTAGTCTCTCTTATGCTGCTTCAACGATTTTTGACTATGTTTAAACTAGCTTTCCTCTATGGTCTCTTCTTTCTCCTCCATTGTTCTTAGTTTTATCTTTAATCTTGTCTCTTAAAAGTTCTCACACTTCTTTCAGTGGTGGGGTTTTCTCCCATGTGTATTCGTGTGTTGGTTTGTGTTGGAAAAATGTGTTTGTAATTACAGGTTAGGTAATAAATATGTATTGCAATGAGTCGCAAAGTCCCATTGCACAGCACGACCCCTGTGTCACGCCCTATTAAAGTATCTCCAAGCGAAGGGCGCCTTTGGCAAAATTCACATGCACAGCTGCGCGCGCCGACACCCACAAATTCCCCGGCGTCCGCCCGCCTCCGAAAAGAACCCCTTCGATCTTTTGTGTGGCAACAGGTGATTGACTCCCGGAACAGTCACATTAAGAGACTCGGGGGTAGCTCCTAGGCTAGGTAATCGCTAAGGGGCAATAAACCACGAAGCTTCGTTGAAGGGTTGCAGACGTGTGTCGAGTCACGAAGGCACTAGATGCAGAACAAACAACCAATTACATGTTAGGAAGTAAAGGTTACCAAGATGCGCAGTTCCCTTAACCCCATCACAGAGCTCGGGTAATAGAATGTTCTGGAAACGTTTGAACAAGCCTATGAGAAACTTCGTGCTACGCACGTGACAGAGCTCTCGCATCTTGCGAAAGGGACGGGGACAACAACACTTCTTACCTTTAATTACACTTTTGTAAAATATTGAATGTAACCATTTACTGAACTGTATAAACTTGTAAATTGGAGACTGCCTGTTAATTAAATAAATAAAAATAAACACATTTTTAAATCCATGCTCCCACATTTATGAACAAAAGGTATTACATGTTATTTTCATTTTCATATTTAAATCGGGTTTTGAATTGAAGATATCTATATCATCAAATTTATTCCTATGTGCCTGCAAACTAATAAAATTTCTTGGCATCTTCCGGAATCAGATACGTAACACTCTGCCAATCCTTTAACTTGTGTTTTGATATGGGTTTTTCATTAGACCATATAATTTCAAGGTTAGTAAACACATTTATCATTTCAATTGTATGAATGGAATCATTTCTTTTAAAGTCTTAACCATCTCTGTAGAACAATGGTTTCAATTTTACAGACAGGGAAGGACTGTTCGTAAATGCCATATCTAATTTTCTATGCTCTGGTTGCCATTAATCTTTGAAATTGACTTTATCTTATAAACGACAATCTAATTCATGTGCTTATAAACAACAACAACAACAACAACAAACAAACAAAACAAAAAAAAAAAAAAATATTGTTTTTACAGATTTGACAGCAAAAGTTTATAAGCACTTTGGTGCATGGTCCAATGCAATAGCCAGTGTCCATAATTATTTTTGTAAAATTATGCTTAGCTGGATATATAACACTGTCCATTTTTCTAATTAACGAGAAAATTGTCTTAATGACGAAAATGTTAAAACAAGTATTGCCTGACCTATGAAAATTTTTGTTACTACTGTCTGCACATATACCATTGTTTTTCTTTCTTTTTTGTCCTCCCATACTGCCCATCCTCTTGTCTTTTAATCCCCCCCTGAAAGTTTTGGGTGATGAATTTGCATTCATCTTTTGTCTGACACCACCTAAGACCGCTGGCAATTAGATCTTGGCACTCCAAGTGACAGTTTGTGCCGTTTTCTGTCATATCATGGCAGTACTAAAACACACACAAAATGACCACCTGCTTGCACAAGAAGCCAGGAGGGTCAGACTTCGATAATTTTAAAATTATGAGCTTTACATCACACACTGGTGCATTGCCTGGCTTGCAACAAGTCACTAAATACTGCACAGGTGCTCTTTGATTTCAAAATGAATTTATACATAATTACTGCTGCAATATTTTGATTACTGAATGACATATCAAATAAACATTTGTAATGATGAAGAGTATTTTTCGATTATCTATCGGTTGTGGAACCATGCAACCTAAGCATGAACTGACATTGCACAATACTGAAAAATTGATACACGACAAAAACTTTCATCAGAGAGTCTGGACAATGCTAGATGCTATACTGTAAGAAAAATCTTTACAAAAAAATTACAAAAATTCCTCAAGGACATTTTCAATTTTTTTCATTCAAAACTGGCATTTTGGATTACATTTTTTAAGTAGATAGGCAGAGTATACTTAAAACAATCGTAGAGAATCTGATTTCATTGAATTCAATGAATTTTCAATAACTAAGTTTTTTGTTGCCTTACTACAACTAGAATTTGGAGAATATGGATTTTTCTTCAGAATGAAATCTGTTCTTCCAAATTAGATTAAATGACTACCATTCTGTAGCACCACTAGTTACTTTTAATATGAGTAGATTTTAATGTTATCAGATGTGGTATGAAGGATTTAAACAAGGTAACGAAATAATAAATAGATTAGTGGTTACTTTATCCATTGACACAGTGTTTTAAGGATTAAGTGGCAGGTCAACCCAAAATGGCACCAAAAGCAGTTGTCTGGAAGCCCATTGCATCACATATAACCTGTTTTCTATAAACTGACTAATTTTACAAAGTTAGACAAAGGAAATATGGGACAGGAGTTCAGCAATGATATATGGTGCAACGTATGCTGAATATGCTTGAAAAATTTGAATCATTATACCCCACAAAGGAAAATGATGCTAGTTAATATTAGCAGAGTACATTGTAGCAAATCTCCTTTTGCAGGTGTGTCACATTTCATTCTGATCTAAAAAATTCAAAGAACAAAACATGGCATTGGAATAATACAATATTGTAATTTTGTGGTCAAGTTGAGAAAACAAGTAGAAAAATATTGAGGAAACCAATCATTCCTCTACTTTCAATGCAATGTTAATTTTTCTGATTTTATACAACTCTCGGCCTCCTTAATTTATTAAACTGCAAAATATGGTGAAAATTTCCCAAATAGACATGGTAGTTTGAACAGTAAATTGGGGAGGACGATTGACTATTGATTCACTCTTAACTGATTCTTGGCTATCAAAGACGCTGCGTTGTTGGCTGAGAGGTCGACGTTTCCATTATATGTTGCAGGCTTCCTCAGGGCCTCACTGCCTCGAGGAAGCCTGTGACATTTGGCCTCTCAGGCAATGACGCGGCGTCTCCCGGGTAGCCAAGAATTTATGGAATCAAGCCGCGGTTACTTACGTGTGATCTCACTCTTACCTGAGCTTAATGATGAATCAACGTCAACAGCTGATGATGAACTTGCTTCATCATGACCACTATCACCTTCGATAGTAGAAGATGAATCAGCTTGAAGATCCGGAAATGTTACAGTAGTATTAATTGATGAATAATTAGGAGCATTTGAAGTAACTGATGGTCGAGCTGAACAAGCACCAAATGATGCTTCAGAAACAGCAGTAGAAGCAGCAGGGGCAAGGGCAGTGGTGGCCGCAGCGGCAGCAGCAACTAAGAAGCACAAAAGTAACATCAATTGCTGGTAATGCATACATTTACTGTTTTTATTTCAAGTAAATCATCAGATAAGATCAAAGCTTTTCAAATTCACTGCCAAGCTCTAAAAGAGGTTTAAGTACCTCAATGAGCTCTAAGCTCAATCTCGGAGTTTCATCACCTTAAAATGATGGTTATAAAATAATTTCTAAAGATTTGTTTGTAGTAGGATGCCCTTTCTTGTTACACCACAACCCCCCCCCCCACACACACACACACACACACACAGGAACTCCCCTTCAGTTTGTGCAAGAGAACAAGATAGATTAAAAACACTAACAAACCATGAAGAATGGAAAAAGAAAAATGGTAGTAAACCAGGATAAAAAAAGAGCAGAAAAAAGTAAACAAAGTAAGAGTATATTGGTGAGAAGAAATTTGATATGCAGGAAAGAGGAAATGTGAATTATTTTCGTCACAAACCTTTATTAGTTTATAAAAGCCTTAGCTAAAGCATTATTTTACAGCACTGATAAAAAAAAAAATCTTTAAATTCAAACCCCCCGCAGACAGTGATATAAACAACAAAGTATATTTTTTCATTCTAGAGAAAATTGTATCATTACCATTGAATCAACTATTGAAACCAAAGTAAATCAAAATTATCAATTATGCCCTATTGTTAGATTGTCAGTTTTTTGCGTAAGAACACTTTGATGTTGAAATAAAGTAATCCCCTCTTTATCGTTTAAACAGATCTGTGCTTTTCTGGTTTGATATTGAAACAGAATGGTGGAAGAAGACAAGAAAGTGAAGGAATATGTGACATCTGAAGCATGTTTGTTTTATGATGAGATTCTTGCTTGCCCAATGAGACTGAATTTTGCTTTTAAGTGTTTATAATAAATTTCTGGCTTACACATAATTAAAAAGAGAAGAATACATGTACAACAAGTTTCTTGTAGTTTGTTTAAAATAACAAAAAAATATATTAACAATATTGTTTTGTAACTCAATAGTTGAAACCAAGTAAGTCAAATTTTACATGTTTTTGAAAAGCCTGCACAATACCTGAACTATTTCACCCCCCCACCCCCCAAAAAACAGAACTGATAATAGCAGAGGCACAGATGACTTTTTGTTTCTTCTGAAAAGTTTAAAAATCTAACTTATTTAGCTTCAACATTTTATTAAATATGCTGCCCACTTTAATTAAATCCATTTTAGGTGAGTGAAATTTGAACTTACATTGAGTAGTTTCTACTAACACAACAGAGCGTCGAGTTCCACGGCCTCTCAGACGTACAGCATCATGTAAGTTTTGTAGTAAGGCTCCTAAACTAGGATAACCAAACTGAGAGGGATGACAAGGTCGCCCATATTTTTTCAAGTATTTTGACTCAACAGAAGCAAGCGGCAAATTGCCACCCGATTCAACAACCAACTGTTGAATATCTTTGATGAATTGTTGCAGGTCAGTAGTAATCAAAGTCACATTCTGTTTTCCATCAATTTCTGCTACCTGGAGATTCAAACCAAAATAAAATCAATAAGATGTATTTAAGTTACTTGTGCAATAGTTTATGAATACCATGTCACCTTGTTCAAGAAAACTTTCAGTGGGAACAGGAAAAAAATGTGGAGCAGGTCTTTACTATCTCGTTTAGGTTTGTGACAGCAAAATGTCCGTCTGCTTGACCGTGAACAACCCTAGTGGCTATACCGTTCAGCTGATTTTCTCCAAAATTGATATTCCTCAATAGATCTGGCCGATGACGCAGCCCAATGAATTTGAAAAAGATATTTTGATTTTGGGGGTCCTTTACATGAAGTCTCTGGGACATTTTGAAAATTAAAAAAAGATGTACATTGTTTTTGATTAGTTTTTGTTGGATAGTATTCAGGCCATTTAAAAAAATGGTGCAGGCCTCTTGTGTGTTAAAATCCTTCATTTTTTCTTCAGTCTTCAGTCAACTAAAATATTAAATCTATCTAGATTTTTCCTTGCAATGTGTTTCATAAAGATACATTTTGAAATAAAATTGTATACAATTTTTTGAAAATTTGAGTACTTTATGTAAGTTTTGCATGAAAATGTGGGCGAGAACATATGAGCTGTTTTAGCACCACTAGTTGAAGTTTGCTACCTTTGTAGAGTATACAGTGCAGTCGTGTAATACTTTGTGCATTGATTTTCTACATAGTATGCATACCAAGCTTTCAGTCAATCTTTGCTAGTACCACACTTAAAGCATAAAGTTAGGATTATACTGCCATACTAAAAATAGTAGAATTCGAAACAGATCCTAATTGAGAGGGATGGGAGTGAACATTAGAATCAAGTGGGGGTTATATACCCATGCTCCTTCCTCTTGACACTAAAGATAAACTTTTAAAGGGCAAAGAATTTGTTATCTCAGATTCCGAAAAAATCTTTATGAAAAACTTCCTCCTTATCGCCAGCAAGGTGTCCAGTTTACTTCCTTTGTCTCATTTTAATTATTCATTAATTAACAACAATTCACTTTGTTAACATTTAACAGAATTCAATTCTGAAATAGTTTCTTTTGTAGCCATACAGAATATGCCTGAGATCCTCAATCTCTGAATTCTCTCACCTAGATATTCCCTAACACATTTAGAAAAGGGGAATAGAGGGGTTGGCTCTCGCAAGTGAGTTACTAACTGTACAAGTATTGTGCTCACGCTGCAAAATGGCTTTGCAAATGTGAACCTTGGTTAGACCTGCTTTAGAGAAACTTTCCCGAGGACCTTCAAATAAAAGTTCAAATTCATTCAAAACCAAACTAATAATATCCATGGGAATATACACAATGCACAGTATACATCGAAAACTTATGTATAACATTTAGGCTTGAGTATACATTTTTAAAAATATTTCAAAAGGGAATGAATGGTGCAAGAGGAAGCATATACATTTTTGTTTTTTTCCCAGCACATTTAGGCACAAAGGCTCAGGCTCACTGGATATAAATACAAAACCATGCTTGAATATAGGAGTGCTGAGCCAAGCAAATCAGTTTTCTTTTGGTTTTCTATCGGGTCTGCTGAACCAAGTTATCTACCGATTCCTCTGACTACTGCCTTTTGAGAATAGCACTGCGGAAAGCCTGGACACAAATTTGAGAATGGGTTATGAACCAAGCTAAACCTATTATTCTCTCCCACCCCAATAGGTTAGTAAATGCAAATGATTTAGAGAACAGGCAGGCAAAACCTGACACACACCATTGGAGATATTCTTTAAGCATCTAATTAGGAGGTAAATACTTTAATATATCCACTGTGAATGAATGTTCAATGTGCATATAATTGAAGTATTAGGCAGATCTTGGGTCGGGAGAGTTTTATTGCATACGAGCACAAAACTTATTTTTGACGCTAGTCTGAACCAGGGCCCTTAAATTCCCATATAACATAATGGAAACCATTACAGTGGCGCACTCTCCTGCAGCAACTTCTTACAGTAATTAAAATGATAACTGCTCCCAACGATATTTAAAATGTGCATGGCTGCTGCATGGAACACTAGCAGGTGCATAATGTTATAAAAGATAGTATTGATTGCACATTCTTCGGAGATTTCTTATAAGTATGTATTGTGAATAATTGAACATTTAGAAGACCCTGTATTTCTCACAAATTAGCAAATTTTCATGTGCGGAAGTTGGCGAGCATAACTTGCAGCTGTTTTCAGCAACACTAGCACCTTCCTGCTTTGTCCCTGGTCTAAACATTAGATTTTGTTATTTTAAACTGGTAAATGGTGGTAAATCTGAAAGAATGGCTTTATTGTACATTATTATTACATTTGAATAATGGGACCGTGCACATGTTGAGGTACAACATATGAAACAATATTAATATACCAAGGCCTTTGAATCCTGGGTTTGTACAGAATCTCCTCTAGATACACTGATGTTTTTCCTGAAGCCAGATGACAGTTACCCTCAAGAGAGATAATTTTAATAAGTTTATTGATTTAATAATTTTTCTGAAATATACCTCTTTCTGGGTTATCACCATAGTAGTTAATTTCTAAATGAAATACCACTACTGTATGGGGTGAGTTTCTTCAAATGGTTTTTTTCTTTCCTACCGCCAACAGGCATAAATAAATGGAAGTTTCTGTACACTGAAAATCATTAAATTTGCAGGGTAGAAGGCACAGTCAGTGTTGTGTGAGCTTGGTTATATCAAGGGGAGGTAAACATTTTCCTAACCAGAAAAGACAAGTTTCTACTAACTGACCTTCAGTCAACAATTAACATAAAAAAATAGTAATTTAGGGTTAGATATAATAAAAAATTAATTGAAAGTTATGTAGAGTTTAGATACCTACCTTAAGTGTTTGAGGTAATAAAGACAAAAGCTCTTCTATTGTTTCACAATTGAAACTTTGTGGATGTAAGGAGTAGCCAAACTGATCACGAAAACTATTTTTTAGGGCAGCAATACTCAATGTGCACTGAGGAGCTCCTTGCAATAGAGAAGCAATTTGATCAGACAAAACTTTCAAATGTTCTTCTTTTGTGAGTTTTACCCAACGTTCTCCATCTATATTTATGATCTGAAAAGTGATAGGAGTGATGTTTAATTACTCTCACATTAATATGGACCCGTTAACATAAACACAAAAAAGATGACTCTTCTTGGCATTGGATCTTCTCTAATTATGCGTTTTCCTTTAACTATTTCTAATTCCTAATTATGCGTAAAAATTCCTTTCTACATATACTATTGAAGCTGACAAGCATATTAATTCATCTCTACAGAAAACTTCCCTAAATATGCAGCCAAACTTTTCTTCTTAACAAAATTTCATAAATTTTCATGGTGGGTCATAGACTTTTATAACTACATTAAAAACAATCAGTTCACAAACACACACTGATCCAATATATTTGCATCTGAGCTAGCAAATAAATTCTCAGAATAATTCTGTCAATATAAAAAGTAAATATGGCTAACTAATCACGTGTAATTAACTCATTTCTTCCCAAACAGTGAAATACTTAATTCGTTAATAAATGTTAGTTAAATATTGATAATAAATCTCCCAAGATAGCCAAACTAGTTTACTAAAAATATTTTGAATCTAGATTGAAAGAGGATGGAACGTTGCATATATGCTATGTTGGAGTTTTCAAGAAAGGAAGTTTACCGACAAATTTTTGAAGAAATGATTGTATTTTGTCAATTAATGCACACTAATTTTACTATCATGCAAATGGGATTTATGCGTGAAGAAGTAAAAATAAAATAATCATTTGAGATTTTGTTATATTCCAAAATGGTCCAATTTTTATGAATTTGACATAGTCTGCAAGCATTTTTGTCATAACTAATTATATAAGCAACGCAGTGCTTTTGTCTTTCATTCTCTTCTTACTATAATGCCTTAAAGTTCAATACGAGTACCAGATGGCAAGTTACGTTTTGGGTGCTAGGTGGCAAATTGCAATTTGTGTTCTCAATATAGATATTTTTTTAGTAGTATCCCTTGTCTCAAATAAGAGAGAGCTAGTTTAGACTCAAAATCAATACAATTTAAAGTATTTTCTGTAGTTAGAATGTAAATATTCCGTATGTGCCATGGTCTCTAACAAATGAAAATTTCGCTATGTTCCTCTATCACAAACATACACTTTCGTTATAAAAAATTATTTAGGTTCAAAGCAAATGGTCTGATGCCCTTCTCCCTCAGTCGCTGCAATTCTATTTGCATAGAAATCAGTTTTTGATAAACACAAAGTAGTGTGATACATATTGAAGTTTGCCTAGAAACAGCAAATGGTATTCTTATTTTCTTTAAAATTTTCGTCTAAGATCAAACATTCATGCCTGTTTTGATATTCATCATGAACATAAAATGGTTTCGAAAATATTTTATTTTCCCCTGACAATATGCACATCAGGAGATACCACAACACTTATATCTAGCTTGTTTTAGGTAAGTGTTGCCCCCACTATCAGTTCATGTGATGAAATTGATTTATGTGACATGTTAAGTTCAAAAGAAAGCTATTGTAGAAGCGTCAAAATAGGGTATATGGCTTAATGGAGAAAAAATTTAAAAAGTGTATCAGTGTAATATACATTAATCAAATCAAAATAGTTTTAAGGTCATTGAGGATTGTTTTTACTGCACAAAAAATGACGAATGCTTTCAAATAATAATACAGGTAAAAAACGTATACATTGCTTTGTGCTTGGGCAACATTGGGAAGAAATTGGTTTAATAGTTGAAAGATCCAAACTACTGACTTATAAAGAATAGTTTTGAAGCACATTTAGTAAATTTCTACTCTTCTATTTTCATCAACAACTATTTTATATTTTGGTAAACAGTTGCATTTTTCTGGTGTTTCTTCTCTTTGAATGAAAAATGTTCTGGCAGAAAGCATTGGTATCCACATTTTTGGTAACCATCTACCATCAGTTGTAAGCTGAATTCACCAAGTTTTCATGCACTGAAACTACTTTACCTGAACAATATCTGGAACAGCTTCAAAGAGTTCAATAAGCTTAGAGAATCCATAATCAGCAACCCTACATTGCCAACCAAAATGTATATGGTGAGCTGGTATAAACTTATTGAACCTCATGGTGCAGTTAGGAACATGTCTTAGAAGTGTAATCACCTGTAAATAACATTGTTTTAATGAAATGAAGGACAACAAATAACTGATTCTAACAAATTTTCTTAAGAGAATATGAAAATATAAAGAAAATATTATATATTGGAGAACAGGATTCAAGGTAGTTTTAAACGTTTGTATATAACAACTTACCTCTGCTGCGAACTGTTTTGTTTTCTCAATTTCTTCAGGAGTTTGTTCACGTTTTGGAATTGCAATGAGCATATCATCTTGTGGTTCATTAACAGGAGACACCACAATTGATGCATCAGGAAAATTAGAGAGCAGATCCATGACATCACACACACCATAATTATTCACAATTAGTGGCTTATTGAAAACACACTCAAATGCAGCAGGTAGTTCCGAGAGCAATATTTGTTTGTTCACTTGATTACGAAGTACTTTTACAAGGTCTCCCATAAAACGTCTCAGCTGCAAACGATGGCTGAGGGTGACTGTACGTTTGTTCCCTTCTCCTAAGACCTAAGAAGAAATTACAAGTAAGCAGGCATATCAAATGCAAACCAGAAGCTATGCAGACAACACTGTGCACTTTGGATTATTACAACATTATTAAATCCAGATTAGATAACATGCAAGTTCTCAAGTAAATAAGTTCACAGAACTCGACTACTACTTTCATGTTCGTAAGTAAAAGAGGAACTGCAAACTAAGCATTTGCTTTTATATCAACTGCAAGAATAATGTGAATGACACAAAAATTAATGAGAACAATATCTAAATCACAAAATGAATGCATTAGTTGTTTTGTCGCATTCAACAGAATTTATTTTCAGATGTTTAAGAACAAAAAATTGCTTTTCATCTTTCTTTTCTCTATTTTTTTAAGCACTGCCTGCTCAGAGCGTGAAATAATAATGCTGCTAATGGTGCAACAATTATATAAACATTCTAACTGTCAAAATTGGGTGAAGTAACTGTCTACAGTTTTTACCAACGATACTACATGGCATTCATTGTCCACAGGGAAAAAGAAAATTGAGGGCAACTTCATTTACACCCTGGCAACAAAAAAGAATGACCTGCTCAGTAAACTATTGACCTGAAAAAATTGTAGTTCTTGGCAGTAGAAAACAGAACAGTAAGTTGCAAATTGTTCAGCAAGTTTATGTGCAGTCAGTGACTGTTGGTTGGAATTTGAATTCCCTTCATTCACATGCACCCTCCTTCCATTTCATTAACTTAAATTGGTTCACATTTTATTGGAATTTGGGTTTTGTCTTAATTTAGTTGGTCCACATGGTTAGCAAGAATCCATATTTTGAAATTGCCTTTCCTGATAGATAAACTTAACGTTGATATATCAAAATTCTGCAAAGGGATAACAATCTGTGCATATCCAAGTTTTTGCAATGTGAAGAACTAAATCAGGGGTGTCCAACTTGCAAGGTCTCAAGGGCTTCAACGAAATTCTTTAATGCGGGCCATATTTTAATTACTCATGCTACCCACACCTGACTTCCCCCTATTGATGATCTCTGCAGTTTGCCAGGTGCTCTGAAACAGTGGGGAGGAGGGGAAATGGAACCATGCATAATGCAGTAGAACACACTGGGATAATTTTGAATTACTGAATTTACTAAGGAAAAAAAAAAAAAAAGGCAGTGCTAAAAAAAAAAGTTTAAATCTAAACTTATTCTATTTTTACATTAAAGGTGGTGTTGACCCTGACAAGGTGCATGCACTAGGCATGCAATGCTCTTGCATGGATTCAAGAGACTTTCACTTTTGACTAATAATCTTTCACTGGCCACAATAAATGGTATAGCGGCTGCGTGCAGCCTGGAAGTTGGATAACCCTGCACTAAATTATTCACCTTTTTTTGTGCCTCTGCACATGTGCAGACCATCATTCTACAGAGATATCAGAATAATGTACTACATGAGAATTACAGTGGCTAATCACAAGACTTCCTGTGTACAAGACAAGCAACAACATATGGAATTTTCTCGAAAATTGTGACAGGAGCTCTTAACTTCCACATTCCTGCAACATGATGGTGGGCAGCTCTTACTGAGGAAATGTGAATTAATAGAAAATGGGTATTTGGGAATTTAGCGTTATGATACTACCATCACCGTCTGGAATCACTTCTATTTACCCTTTTCTTAGAATGAAAATATTGGGCAAAACTTAGTAACATTAAATCATGCGGATGCCTCTACTGTACTTTTAAGTTATTTAACCATTCTCTGTGCAAAAAGTCTCTTACAATAGGTAATTCTATTCCCACACGTTTTCTAGGTATCCACCAATATTTCTGAAGAGAACATCTTAAAACAATGGCATTGATAGAAAACAAATATAACACTCAAACAAATGGAAGTCCAGGTAAAAATTTGTTTGAGGTACAGGAATCTCCAAGATCTCATTTCACAACTGAATCACTCAATGTAAATTTACAGTTAATGGTTGTTCAAGAAGCAGACTATGAACAAACTGTGAGGTTCGAAACAAATTTGAGTCAGAAGGGAATACTTGTAGGTAGTGTCAGATGGAACACAAATAAATGTACAAAACTCTCAGGTGACCTAAAAATGGGAGATTTGAGGAGTTAGATCAAGATTATATGAGTTTCTGTGACAGAAACAACGAAGGCTTTCCCCATCATTTGAAAAATTATCCAATATGGTGAGGGGCAATGTTAGCTTAGCAACATCTGCAGCTTTTGAAGATTAATTAACTGCATTTCAGAATTATGTTCTCAAATTAGGATAAGAATACAATTACTTGCTCAGTCAAATTGGCGATGCTGATCATACTTATTTTCTTCAAAATGATATCTAAAGTAATAGTTGAAGCTAAGTTTGCTAAAAGAATTGTGATCAGATGCACAAGCACTGAAAAGGTTCAAATGTGTTAGCTGTGTGCTGCGGAAGACAAACTAGTTGATCATGTGATTCTGGATAGGAAATTTATACCAAAAGAAACAGAAGGGTTTGTTTTGAGATGCCAAAGGAATGGTAGGTGACCAAGGAACTGACGTTAGATTTGTTGAAGGGTTCTTGGAAGACAAGTCCCAGGTATTTACAGAAGAGGAAAGGAATGTTTAAGCTAGATTCGCTCGGGGAACATCTTACCAAAGAAGAATATCATCCATGACTACAATATCTTCCTTCTTCATAGCTTGGTGTAAGATCATGAGAGACTTTATAGTAAAGGGTTTAAAGATGTATTGAGTTGATCACTGTATTGAGTGGCTAAGAAGATGACCCAATGGGAATATGGCCAGGAAGGAAAAGAACCATACAAATTAAGAAGTTCAAATGAACAAAGCTCTTCACAGTATCAATGATAAATCTGCAGTGACAATGATTACAATAACACTGAAGGCTATAATTCTCATCAAATTTCCAAATCAATAATACCATTTGTGATTGTGTATAGTTAAGTGTTATTTACAATGAAGCAAAGTTATAAATGAAAAGCTTGGTGCCATGTTTTATAAAAATACTTAAAAAATATTTTGAAGGAACATGAATAGCTTACTGAATGTTTCCAATTTTTCAACTGTGCATGTCAGAACTAAATCCCATAACAGAAACAGTAACGAAAGCACTTAGCAACACAGCAACCGTACCTGAATTGTTTGTGGGAGAGACTCCAATAGTTCAATGAGTTTGGTAAATCCATAATCAGCAACTCTACACTGTCTTCCAAAGTGATGGTGATAAGCTGGAATAAATTTATCAAATAATATTTGACAACGAGGAGAAGTCTTCAAAAGCTCTACAATTTCTCTACTAAACACAGAGAGTTTCCCAGCTAGTGATGTATTTGATGTACCAGTTTCTGTAAAGGAATATTGTATTTCAATTTCGAACACTCATAGCAGCAAGGAATTACAATATTGTGAAACTTAACAATCTTACATGTGCAATTTGCACTTGCTTAAATCACCTCCATATCCTCTTACCCACCTTCATCAGTTTTGCTATTACTGCTACATACTGATGCAGTCTTTGACCATCTTATATACTTGATGCTAGCTGGACTTTTGAAGATTTGAATTCCAGGAAGACAACTTACTAAATGTTCCAATGCTACTCCTTCTCTATCTTCCTCAAAGGGCTCAAACTGGGCCTCGTAGCACTGGGGAAGGCTGAAAATAATTGTTGACATGAAAATGTGGAAAAATAAGAGAAAATAAAGCTCATTAACAGTACAAGTACAAATATTTAATAAAACAACAACCAAATATGTTACGTTTAAATGATTAAGCAAAAAACGGTTTTATCATTAATGCTTACAATTATATGTAAGCATTTTAATTTATTATATTATGCCTAATATTACTATCTGAACACTTGCAAATACTTCACACCAGGTGCAGCTGGATCTGTTACTTGGATCATTTGAGCTTGGTATTGTTTGCAAGTGAAACTTAACATTTCTAAGAGAACTCTACCCCACTTTTGGTCAATTTAATTCTGCCTAGAATTGAAGCTTCTCCACAACTCTGTCAATCCGCACTGTGAAAAAAGGGATACCCACAGGAGTCGAACTTTCAAAACATGTATTATAAAGGACTAGAATGGCCTTTTCACAAGATTTTAGGCTAACATACTCAAGGCCTACTTTGGGGAATTCAGTTATTTAAGAAGCGTCTCCTCTTTGCTGTAGAATTGGGACAACCACACTTCAAAACCTTGTCAAAATGTTCCTAGTGCATTAACTCTCTATCAATTATTAATTACCATATTTACCTAAATATGAGTCTACTGAATATAATACAAACCTCAAATTTGGAAGACATTTTCAGAATTTTAAAATTATTAAACTAATTCTTACAATTTTGTCAAAATAAAATAGCAAATTGACTAGATAATAAAAATGTTAAAAACATTGCCTGAGCCATCACTATATTATTCCTTAAAATCATCACAATTTTTGTTATTGTTACAATCCTCGTTCTTCACGTGTGTGATTGTTACTTTCTTTCTGGTCCTCCTACCTTCTTCTCATCTGATATAAGGTAGAAGGCCCAGAATGGGGTCCCTATTAATGACCTTGTGCCACTTTTACACAGCAGAAAAAAAGGCAGGGCCCTATGTGGGCTACAAATGGTGGTGGTGACATGCGATTTTTGCTTGTTTCAGGCTTGGCGTTACTTGATATTCAACTGGTCAAAGCACTTAAAAGAGTTCTTTCTAGGCGACAGGAAGCATGTAACTGCGACATTTTTGCGATCTCTGCCGTGCCGTGTCGAAAAGCGGTCAGTTTCATTAACCGCTTGTGCCATCCTGCTACCAAAAGCATTACGTATGTTATTAGGTGAATAAAAGGGGCTTTGGAGATTGGGATGGTGTTTCAACAGTGAAGGAAGCATTGAAAGTTGTCAAGACTGTATTATGATACTTAGAGACACATAGCAATTCGCAATAGAGTATGGAGAGAGCATGAACTCTAAAGAAGGATCTGGAAAAGTTGCTAATGAAAAATGTTCGAAGCAAACAATATAAATAATTGATTTTTTTAAAGGCAAATGAAGACATTGAAATTTTCAGTTAGTGTTGTTAATGTATTTTGCTAAATCTCTTTATTAATAAAATCAATCGTTATGGAGATTTTCTATTTAATTTTGACATTATTGGATACTGTGAACCGAAAATTTTAGTCCCCAGAAGTACACTATAACAGAGTCAACTGTATATTTAACAGTCATTGCTAGCCTTCTTTATACATCTCTAAATATCCAAATACTTTATGAAATCTGTATCTAAAAGGCATTTCTTCAAGTCTATGTGAGCTTCTCCCTCAGCAATAACTTCAACTCTTTCAAATATCACATTAGATAAGATGTGCCAAAGAATTTTTTACGCATGTGCTATTATGACTGGTTTATGTTTACAGGCACATCAACTGCAATGGGCATTAGTTCCATTAGTGTAACTAAAGGTTGATAATGGGTTGTGGCAGTGTTCCTCCTCTGCTAGTGGGGGAGATCAGGTGGTGACCTACATGTCAGCTTCTGAGGATTTTCCCTCACCTGGTATCACCTCTCAAAGGGACAGCATTCCAGCCAGAACACGTGCCAAGCTCCCAACTAGTCTCCTGTCATGTGAGAGTAGAGTGCATGTAAGAGGATATGACAAGAAAGAAGGAGGATAGATTGCACACTGTGGCCTATTCTTTTAGGACCCTGCTCTAGCATTTGTTTAGTGTTGATTGAAGAAATTGCCCATATAAGCAGGAGGCTATTAGAAATCTCCCCCACAAAGCAGCTTAATTTGACCAAGCTATTTAGACAGTGTTGAAAATCAACCGTGTGAATTAACCCCAGCACTTTCAGTTCAGACACTGCAGACACACACAGCCACAATGTTGGTTTGAGTTTAACTGTCAGCACATGCTTATCTATTATTTTACACAAAGTCAAAAAATTATAAGGATATTTGAAGTCAATTTGTAGATAAAACTGTCATCCAGTCAAATAACAGCAAACTTGGTCAGCTAGTTGAGAACCATCTAATCCATCCATGAAAACCATCTGTGCACCATTTGACAATTTAATTTGCGATTCCTGTAACACAATTTTATCTTGAGAAGATTTAATAATTAACATTTTTAGGACATCAGCAAAAAGTAGGAATTCAACATTCTTATTATTTTAGTAACCCCATTTATAAAAATTATGAATAGGGGACCCTGGTGGGAACCTTGGGGTACCCCAGATAACATGTGCACAGTGTGATTCTGTAGGAAATTCTTGTCCTAATGCTTTAGGAGCATTTTCAACAAAAAATACTGTACATGACTGAGCAAACAATAACATTAAACTTAAAAAGAGAAGCACTGATAGAAGTGTGCATTCTACATCCAAACACAGAATTATAAAAAAAAAAAAAAAAAAAAAAAAAAAAAAAAAAAAAAAAAAAAAAAAAAAAAAAAAAAAAAAAAGGTTTGTAGAAAGTTGGAAGATAGACAAAGAATACATGAACATTAAACAATGAAAATTTCATGTAGATTCTTTTAAGAAATCAGAATAATAAACACGAGCATGACAAAATACCTGGTGACACCGACAAATCCAAAATTTTCAAAGGAGCCTAAAAAGTCAGAGTAATGCAGTATCAAAGAAGGACACAAAACAATGATGTAATGAGAAGATTGTAAAAGCAAAAATCATGATAAACCATCAGGTGACCTTGATTAACTCATCAGGCATATGCCATCCTTCATGGCAACACTAGCATGTACGCATATGCCGTTCACACTTTTGGATGCGTTGCCGGGTTACTCGACATTTCGTGAAGTAAATCGCTAGCTAGCAGTTCAATGTAGTATCATAACGTGTTTGATATAATTTGTTTACCTTTTACATGAAGTGCGTATTATTTGTGATCATATCCTAATTTTTTCAGACATTTTCTTGTAATAGTTTACAAGATATATATATTTTTAATCCAGATGAAAATATAATTGTAACTTAAGCAAATTTAAAAGTCACGCTGCAGCAGCTGAGGGCACAAGGCGAGTCACAGCTGAAGGGTTAAGATAGTTTTAAACAACAAAAAAATAACTATACTTCAGGCAATACTTATTTTGGTGACTATGTACAATAAACAAATGACCATGATAGTACTTCTCTCAGGACTGTCACATGAAAGCTGCGTTGACGAGCGATACCTAATGCTGGTGACTGCATCTGCGTGGATGCCTGTGCACACAAGTCACTTAACACACATCGTAGATTTACACGGCATCTTATGCGAAACAGCACACAAGCACTCGGTGACCTGTTGTGCCCATAGTTCAAGCTAAACATCAAGTCAAAATAGCATGCATTGTATAGCTTTCACTGAGCGATGCCCTCTAGGCAACAAGTGTTTGGCAACAACTTATGTTTGAGATAGTGTTGCAAGCGGACTCATAAATTGTGGGAAAATTGAAAGTATATTAGCCGTAAATGAGAGAGAGTTATAACATTATGAATATTCAAGAACTGACGGGACCAACGAGATATGTGAATACCAGCAAAACAAATTGCAGAATGTGAAAGCAGGGTTTTACTGTATGTTTATTCAATTAATAGAAATAAATACTGCACCATTTTATCAGTTTTGGAAATGCGCAGCATGATTAATTAGGTTTCAATAGAATAATTTCGTTGTCTAATAATAATAACAACAACAACAATAACAATTTTTTATTTATAGGAAGTATTATTTTAAGGCACATCACATCATGCCCTTTCAACAACAATGTTAATTTCTAATACATAGCTTCCTTGTGTGGCACATCACTACTTAAGATGTACAAGTGCATTGGCTCATAAACAATGCAAGGCTAGGAACAAATTGTGTTGGGCTACTGGTAAGTCTTTTCAAGCTTTGCAAGGCGATTCAGACCAATGTTTTTAAATAGTCTAGTTTCTAAAAGAAATTAAGAATGAAATGGAAAATTCTCTTTCATTCACATTCTATATCCAACAAAATCTACTGAATAATTTTAAAGATTCTTTGCAAAATTTTCTTAACTTTTGAAACTTTCCCACTCTCTTCCACACTATCAGCAGAATGGAGGCATGGAGATGTACAAGTTGGCAGTTTACTACTCAAACTTGCAAACATTAAATAATGTGAATTCCAAGTTAATGAATATTAAAGATCCGGAGATCAAAATCAGTGGAAAAAAAAAACAACCAACAACACCTACGAAAGCATATACTTTCTCACATTGTTTCTACATGGTCCGCAATGTTTTACTACTACATAAACGTTGCAGCCACATGAACGCAAAAGTCTTTTCAAGCAGCAACAGCAATATTTCTTTTTGCACCAAGACCCAATCTCAGATCCTCAAAGTTAACAAAAAAATCAAAAATAAAAGCAGGATTTATCCACTTTTTCATTACCAGATCCCGGCAATAAGAGTTTTTCTAGTGAACAATTACATAACTCTCTTTTAACTAAGTATTAGTAAAGCAAGAAAGTAAAAAACAACCCACAGGTGGCAGAATGCAATTTCCTCTGTGGGATCAGTTGAAAGGCTTCAGAATGCAAATTAAATGCTCAGAAATTTCAGGGGGGCTAAAAGGTCAGACAAGCAATACAGAAACAACTAAATATTTGAAGACTGTGGTAGTGACAAAAATGTTTAGGTTCACTATTTCTTATACGGAAATGCTGTTTGACTATAAACTTTAGAACATTCCACAAGTTCAAAACATTTTGAACACCTTCCTACAGATTATCAAAAAACTTAATTCAAGATCTTAAAGATATATATTATTCAACATTAATTCTTGAAACAATGTGTACTATTTTTTCGAAGTATGATTTTTTTTTGAAATTTTCAGTGGAATCATTATTTAAAAAAAACAAACAAGATTCCCAAACTTGTTTTTCAATAGAAGACTGTATAATTAGTACGGCACTAATTGCAATATTATATAAGATATCTATACCACATTTTCAATTTAGCATACCTGTTCAAATGGATGTTACCATTGTGAGTTTGCAACAACGCATGAATCCGAACAGACAGCAATTTGAGACTTATGTTCACCGAGGGTAATGTTGAAACTTCTTGCTCAGCCCATCCCTTATTGGGTTGAATCTCCTGGCCATGAAAGGGACAGAAAGGTGGTTCCAGTTCTTCCATTTCCTATAGAACAGGTAATTCAGGGTGAATTCAAAATTTCAGAAATTTGGGGTAATTTAGAACAAAGAAATATTCTCGAGGATGACATTATATTCTTTTTGAATTTCAGGGAAGAAATAATTAACTCTAAAAACATTTAAAATCACTACTTACAACTACTTTCTTATCTACTAGTCATAAGCATTGACAAAAATTGTAGTCTTCTCTAAGTCATAAACCAAAACATCCCAATATATTTTTTTCCCTTTCAACAAAAATTCTGGAGCAAGTATGTCGAATGACTTGTACTCTACGAGATACAGAATTACATTATCTCTGTGTTCAGACTGACAGATGGGCAGAAAGAAAATCTTTTTTTTCTAGGCACAAAAAATTCGAAGCACATTGAACACTAAAAGAACTACTGTTTACAATTCTAAAGGAGAATTCTGTAAAACCAAATTAACACCAGAAAAGCATTGTAATATTCTGAATCCTACTGAACTTAATTGTAAAAATAAAAACCTTTGGTACAGATTTGATACATGATTATGGTAAAAAATAACAGCCAATTAAAAACAAAAATGATATTCATGTGTACATTTATATGAATCGAAATCTATGCATTTCTTTTCAGGCTGTCTTGCATAAATGTAATTAGAATATCTAACCGTATGTCACATCATACATTACAACAGCTATATTTGAACACGTCCTATGAAACAAACTGCCAACAGTTTTTATTCTTTTTTTATTGATAGTGTTAAAGAAATAAGTTTTCTAATAACTATTTTCACTTACTTTACTTGAAATTCTGTTTACTTGATGGCTTTTAAACTGACTCAATTACTTGGAAAATCAGACGTGAATAATAAGAAAACATGTGAATACCGAATTTACCCAAATAAGTCAACTAAGTATATGACTACCCCTAATTTGGAAGAGGCTTCCTGATATTTTTTAAATTATAAACTAACTCTTACTATTTTGTCAAAATAAAATTGACAATTCTCTCAATAACTAGAAAATTGCCTTATTGATGAGAATGCTAAGACTCCTTGCTGAACACTAATTTTGTTCCTTAAAATCATCATAATTGTTTTTTCCACTACCCTCATCTTCACATGTTTCGATGTTTCTTTCTTTTTGATCCTTCCATACAAAGACAGCTAAGTTTTTAGGCCTCAAAGTTTCGTGCATTTAATTTGCATTGCCACCTAAGAACAATGTCTTCCATGTCACAAGATTTTCTATCTGTCTGGCACTTTTTCTACTTCATGATGGGCCTCTTTCTTGAACAGTTCAAAAAACAGATTTGCCCTTGCCAGGCATCGAACAGATTTCGCGCTGCCTTGTTGAATCCACATTGTGTAATAAAGTCTCAGCATTATTTTCACATTACATTTTATTTGAATGCAATTCATTACAATGCAGTTAGTTTGAGATTCTCTCTTTTCAGTACGTTAAAAAAAATCAGGTCGAATTGCCCAATAAATTTGTTGAGAATGCTGAGAATATGACCGTGAATAGAATTACGTATTGTAGATACAATATTTTTACAGCCTTCGCAGTTTATTGTTATGCCAACATTTACAAGTTTCACGACATGGAATGGCAATGCACAAGCTTAAACCCTAACAGACTAGCCTTGATATGCAAATATAAGACTACTGTTTTTGACAGATATTTGGGGGAAAATCTCATTTTATAGTTGGGTAAATACGGTATATTTATGTATTACAGAAACAAGTGAACTACTGGCTTTGCAACCTACAGTTATTTAGTTACAGTGCTAGCTGTTATTGCTCAGGAAAATGATACTGTATACTTCATAATCTTGAAGTATTAAATTCCAAGAAGTCCAAAACAGATAATTTTAAAAATAATTCCTATTAAAACCCTTATTTACTGTACTTTCTTTGACTCCTTTACCAAGCAATCAGTCTGGAATTTATTATATTTAAAATGAATAGCAGCAATATCAGATACAATCATGGACTGACATAGTAGAACTACAGAAACATAGAACAGAAAAAGAAAGAATTTGAATGAAAATTCATTCCACAATGATACTATAAATAATGAAGTAGCATACCTGAAAAACTTGCAGCTGAGGAGACGGAGAATTCCTAGTCTCTACTAGCAGAGAAACTATACGTCCTCTGGGACCATCAAGGACTTCACATTCTTTCACCTTGTAAATATCAGATATGCTAATAGAGCATAAAAAACGACTCTCGTAAAGTTCACAGAATTTGAACAAAGGAAGTCTATGATTCGGTACTTCTTGGAGAAGACTAATTACTTGCGATCTAAAATAAATGAATAAAACTGCTTTCTCATTAAAATTCATAAAATCTCACACTAACCCTACAATCTCACACTAAACATTTAAGAAATTCATGAAAGTTCTCTGTTCCATACACTTATATTTATGAATAAAATCTATAAAAAATTAACATGCTAACATGACATTTCACGAATTCTAATGATGTTCATATTCGAAAATTTTTATTATCAAATTTACACACCTGATTAATTGAGGACTTGGTCTTGTGATAGATCCATGAGATATTCTAATTCTCTTGTGCCCTATTTTGTGTCGCTGTAATTTATAAATTGCATACTGTGCATCCTGCTGTGAAGCCAACCTAACACGAGCATTAAGTGAACCATCTTGTTGAACAAGGACTAGCAAACTCAATACCTAAAAACAAAAACATTTCTGTAATCTTTATTACCTACTAACTGCTTGAAATTTAGGTGCACTTTTAAATTTGGTTCTAGACTTTTCCAAACCACTTTCTATTTAAAAGGCATTACTATAAATTCCACAAAACAAGCTTAATAAGGAACTTCCCAAAATTCAGCATCTCAAAACTTTATGATCACAATTTTATTTTCATGCAGATTTAGGACTAATCAGTTTTACTGCTGCCTGCAAGTTACAAAGAATTACTGCAGTTGACTGGTTACACCCTACAGAACATGAAAAAGTATCAATTAGGGCTTCAACTTTAACAATAAAAATTACACAAAGTTGTGCTGATTGCACCTCTTCCATTCAGTAGTTGTCCAAGATTACAGCCAAGTACCCATCCCAATATACAGTATTCGAGGATCTTTTCTGAATGCTTCCTGAAGAAAGTGGAATATAAAAACAATACATTTTTTATTACCAAAGGCAGATAAGAAGTATATGTAAAAATCTCTACACAGAAATCATCCATCTAATTTTCTATGAAGTGAATCATAGTGTGTGCAGCTATAATTTCTTTCAGAACAATTTTTTGGCCCCGATTCTTAATTTTTTTGAATGACTGGTTCACTAGGCAATAATTTAATTTTAATTTACATAAAATCAATAAATGAAGTTGTAACAATTGATGTTTTGATGAAAAGGCAGTATATTAATTAAATATTCACAGTAGTTATCAGTGTTTCATTCAAGTACCTAGGAATACTTCATAAATACACCATAAATTACATAACGCAAATTTGGTGCATTTTGAATACCTCCTCTCGCCCCTGTAACGCACACACAACACTATTGAACCGCCCCTAAATACTCACGTAGTGCTTTCCATACCCATCCAATAAATGCAAGAAGTGAAAATACATTTTAGCTCAGGGAGGGAAAAAATGTTATTGTAATAAAATACAAGATGTTAAGTTTGAATTAGTTGTCTCACTGCACCTAACAATAATATTGGGGGAAAATTTTGAGTGAAGGACTGATGTACAGGCAAGAATATTTCTGATCACAAGCCATTCACACGCCTCAATTTTGGGTTGCACATGGACAAGAATCTACTGCGCCTATATAATTGGATTATTAGTAAGCAACTAATATTTATTGGTAATTGGTAACTATTAGTAAGTGAAAAAATATTCACATAAAAAAATAAAAACTAATGAGAAAATAGTTGAAAAACAGAACACAAACAAATTCTGAAATTTTTACATTTAGAATGAAGTCTTAAATTAAATATTCGCAATTTAATGTAGTAAACACCACTACTATTTTGGAATCATTATAGAAAATTTACTTCATTTTCCTGTCAATGACACCTACCATCACATGCTCTCTGAAAGCATTCAGGAGTATTTTCTTCATTTCTCTTGCACCAAATTTTTGATCCAAGTTGCTTACATGTAGTTCAACTGATTCATTAGAATTGGACCCATTAATGTTTGAAAGATCAGATGAATTAATAGGATGAAAAAAATGCTGCAAAAAAGAATTTTGTTTTGAGTATATATTAAATAAAGTTAACTTATAATTTACTTATCAAGCTAGAGATCACAAATATCATGGCCCTATTACATTCTAAGCTACTAAATATAATTAATTCCCCCCCCTCTTCTCATGTGCATCTACCCTAGTCCCACATGATTACAGATGGGTTAGATTATGTTAAGTTCCTATTACATTTCTCACTATTGATCTATTTTTACTTCAGTGTGTTGCACAGCTGTCTTCCATATTTATGTATCACAAACCTTCTCGCAAAGTACCAGATATAAAAATTAGGCAAATATCCCAAACCAAAAGTCCCCCAAAATGAGGAGTGATATCTCCATTTCACAAGTCAAATTTGGAAACAACTCACCTCTGGTTCATCTAAATCACCATCATATTGCTGTAATGCAGGGGTTGGAGTGCGACTAGAAACAGCACCCCATCCTTTACCAGAACTTGGATTTATGATATTGCTTGTACCAAGTGGCATTAATGGGGAAGGATCCCTACTATTAGGAGTATTCTTTTGAGAGGAAGCATCTGAAGGACCAGTCTTCACTAATGGTCTTGCAGTTTGCAGTCTACTAACTCCAGAGTTAAATGCAGGTTGATTTTCTTCCATTTCCGTAGGTTCTTGTTCCAACAATACACCTTTGCAATAATTTACTTTAATGAACATGTGCTAATTCTAAACACAGCATAATCCAGTTTTAAAAAAGTTCAATAGCAATAATAATGAAAGCTTTTTTGAAAAATTCTAAATTTTAGGTGTGACTCAAGATTACAATGTTCCTGAATAGAGGATAGAATTTATTAAAGAAAGAAAGAAGGAAAGAAAGAAAGAAAGAAAGAAAGAAAGAAGAGGGACGTCATATCTGATTATAGTGAACTTCTAGAGAAACATTTGTTCAATAATTCAAAGACATTCATTGTGTTCAATAATATCGAAATTTAATATAATTTCTCCAGTGATGGATTTCATTAACAGAGAAAAATACATTAACAACCCGAAAATTCTCTTTATTTGACCTTAAAAAATCTATTTTCAACCGTTTGCTGCATACATTTTTCATTATTCATTTCTATAGATCCTTCTCCAGAATTCATTCTCTCTCAGTACTCTATTCTGTGTCATCAGTCCACTAAGTACACACACTACTGTCACTCACTCCACTAGGCATTGTAATGCAGCCTTAACACCCTTCAATGCCTCTTGCTCTGTTGGAACACCGTCCCACTCACTGAAGGTCCTTTTACTCGCCTAATAACATACATCTTTTTGGAAGTGGTATAGCGCAAGTGGCTAATTAAATTTATCACTTTTCCATGCGACATTGCAGGCGTTGCCAAGCTATGGGGCTGTGGCAGCCATGCGCTTGTCGCATACACACAGCACCACACGCTTAAGTCTCGCAAAATATCAAGTAATCTCAAGCTTGAAACTGAAGTAAGTATTTGCAGAAACCAGGCACAGCTAATTGTCAGCACAGTACCACCGCCACGCAGAAAATTCAAATATCAGATTCCAAAATACAGAGGGCCTCCCATACCTTAAAATTGATTGAGGATTATTTATCTTTGAGAAAATTCGCTGAACAATTTAGATGTTAGATTTGACAACAGATGGACAGACCGAAGTTTCGCCAATGGTTTTTTTCGGTATTAAGGAGACACAAATGGATTCTGACTACATAAAGTGTAAGAGGAAGTAATTCACTACATATAGAATTAATATTTATCTACTATTTCGTTTCCAGGACCTAATACAAAAGAGTTTCTGTCAAAAATTCACTGTTTTCTGGGGTCACGGTTACAATACTTTCTCTTCTTACTAAGAATGGTTGAAAAAGTAAAATTGCCTATATCTCACAGAAAATTGCGTGAAAACTACCTAAACATTAAAAAAATTGTACACAGCCTTATCTAAAGATGCCTTCATGGAATAGATTTAATTAACATAACCCGTTTTCAATATTGTAGTTGAACGACGCCGGATTTTTATTATAATGATAAATTATTATTATTATTTGCAATTAAAAATATATATCAAGGATTTCAACGAAAATGCGAAGAGACCTGCAGCATTCTCCGAGACTTTTGTTAAACTTGCGTTGTGTTGACGCGCATCCTAGGTTAAAACTATTTTACGCGAAACAGCCAAAGCGGTCGGGTGCCGGTTCGCCGGTACAGTGGTAATCCACGACGCGCGTTACTTAACGTGCGTCAACGCAACGCTCGCGTGACAGACCTTAAGCGTCCTTTACGATACCGGAGGGCAAAGTTAAATAAAGATAACTGGAGCCATTTGAAAAAAAAAAAAAGTTTACCTTTCATGTAACCTAGTCCCCCAAATCAAAATTACCGTCTAAAACGACGAGCTCTTTTAAATTTATCGAGGAACATCAATTCAGGCTGAATCGGAAATCGGCTGAACGGTTTTGGCGCTTGCTTGCACACGTGGGTGTGAGCAGTCCAATTTTTCGGTATCCTACACATACCATGGTTCCGGACTACAAGGTCTTAGAGGGAGAAATTTATTATGTATCTACTTTTTTGTTACCAGGCCCAGGCAACAATTTTTTATTATGTTGAAAATTCGCAGTTTTCCGGCGCATGATTACAACACTTACTGATCTTGAAAAGCAAGAGTGAGAAAGTAAACCCCCCTAAAAATGCACAGAGCGTAGGCTGCAGAATGCTGGGTTTCTTCAAATGAATTCATTATTATAATTTAAAATATTAATACATGGTTTCATTCATAATCAGACCCTAACCTAATATTTCATAATCTCAAAAAATTATAAAAACACCATAAATGAAAATCTTACCTTTGTGTGTACCTCTTATCTTGCGTAAAACTCTTGGAGCTTTATCAACAAAACCACAAGGAACATTTATCATTTCTGCAGGAGAGTTCCTGGATAAGAAACAAGGAGGATTCTGTGTTCCATATGCTGAAAAGATGTATTAAATAACTCCTTGTGCATAAATATTACTGAATAAACATTGCCATTATTTTATTATGCAACAAATCTTCCAAAAAAAGTTTTAAATGATTTGAGATATTAAAGACCAAATGAAGTTCAAAAATGGAACAACTAAAATAAGCCAAATACAGAATGCACTGCAAAACCAAAAATTCAGTTTAACTCATCTTTAATATTTCTTCACAAACTTAAGCTAAAAGCAGAATGTCCTACCCGAGAAAGTCTGAGCATGAGGGGCAGCATCTACAGGAACATGAAAACCAGAACATAAGCCAGTATAGTATTCTTGTGCTACATTAACAGATGTTGAGGTACTTCCATAAACACTCCAGTTCTCCACACAAGGATGCTGATTTAAAAAATTAAAAGCTGCTGGAATACAACGATACAAGCCAGAGGAAGTGGAAACTCCATTATCAGATCGTACACCACTAATCTCTCTTGCTCCGTTCATTTGGAATTTTTTCCCTGAAAATTTAAGAATTTAAAACTAGTTGACAACAGAATACTTCAATAAGTTAGAGGTGAATCGGTTAATACCTGCTGAGTTTCCATTGAATTTCTGAGGTGATCCTTCTTTTTCAATTACTCTTACAGGGACGCTCACTTGAATTTTATGACCAAATACATCTTCCCCATCCATTCGCTTTTGAGCCCTACGAAAAATATTTTGCCAATTAATTTTAGAAAATAAATTATTTATGAAGTACACTACTCTTAAAATAACAATTTAAATTACTACTGGGGTTACTGCTTTTGATATGTATACAGTTCAGTACAGAATAGCAACCACAGACCTCTAATTGTAGAAGATAAGGTTAAGATATCAAGAAGCTGATATTCTAACAGACTTAATATATAACACACAAAAAGATGATAGTTAGTAAATGAAGAGTTGCACAAAACACAACATGAACAAATTGCAGTTTCACACAAATATCATACCATGGACAACACTGTATTCTAATTTTTGTATTAGTTACTAATTTAACTTGCCTGTATGAAAAATGTCCATACATTTCTTCTCAACTCTAATTTTTTAACTAAAGATAAAATTGTAAATTGTTCAACAATAATCTTTTATACACCATTACTTCATAGACATCTTAACAAGACTCCTTGTTCCTCAAAAAGAGACTGGATACAAGAGTACCTCAATAACTAACTTGATGTGACATTGAGAATTCTGATCACTGATTGGCTGTTTTACATGTAGCATGAACAAGTAATAAATGACAAGTGAAGTGATTTTTTCTTCAAATTTTATATACATACAGATTTTTTCAATATAATCATAATAATTTAATGATACATTTGTTTAATTACCCAATTATTTGAAACAATCCCCACACAAATATAACTGAACTGCCTTCAATAAAAAGGAATAGAAGTTTAATAAAACCAAAAATATTCAGTAAATGGCAGTGCCAATATAATACTTCAATTCTAACCACTTTTGTATTCCATGAACTCTTAATTCTGACATTTTAATTCCTTGAATAATTTCACTATCCCTTTCCAAGTAACATTTTTAAAAAATTTTACACATAATAAAAGGGCAACTAATGTTTATTTTATAGAGTATTCATTAATACTTGATATTCTGGAAGCAGATTACATTACATTTTTCAAAGACTTCTGAACCCTGCAAAAATGAGTGAAACCATTTCACATAGTATTACATGATTCCACTGGTATAATTCTTAGTAAAACATTAGAGGTAACAACATTTTTGAAGGGGGTCCAGTTTATCTTTGATGTACATATCGAGGGCAAACACAGCAGTCAACTAAAGTTCAAAATATGACTAATGCTTTTGTAAAACTCTTGAGGCAGATTAGAAAATTAAGTATAAAAAAAAGGGGTAAAGGCAGTGGCTCTTTTCCAAGAAAACTGTTCTTATAAAACAAACTAATTTTGTTATTCTTTTACGTCATAAAATTCGTGAATTCAAAGCACAATGCTATTAGCACGTTCCTGGAATCAGTGTAGTTGCTTGTCATATCAAATGAATACATCCATCACTATCACATCAGTGATTACCTGTTAGCCACATCAAAAGAAGTGAAGCGGATAGTGGCACATGTCTGTTTCAGGGCTGTAACACGACCTCCACAGTTGTCCGACAGCTGCCGTAGCCGTGATTTCACACTGTTGCTGTCTTTCTCGGCAGGTAAATTGTACACGATGACTTCAACTGGCTGGTTAGATTGCTGAGAAATAAAAACGCCCCTTAGCTATACCCCAATTTCCAAATAAGGATTTTATTAGATACAAATTGTGGAATTCACCCCTACTGACATTCTGCAGCAACATGCATATTTGCTTTAAAATTAAAATTATGGAAGACTACATACATTATGAAATAAATAGCTTTTTAATTTAAAAAGGAAGTTAAAACACATTCTTTTTAAGGAAGGGGGGGGGGGGAGCATAAAGATTTATTTACAGTATAAACAGAACTGCAATTCTCAGTTATAAGACATAAGATTTTATAAATCAAACATAACATGCTCAATAAAGCTTGAATAAATCCAAAACATAGAACATGCTTATTACAAAGCCACTTGATCACAAGTACCTTAATGGCACCTCTTGGAGGCAATGCCTCAACTAGCTCTGAGAAACTGTAGTGTTCACTGGCACATAGAATGAGATTTTCAGAGGCGTTCTCCATATGAAGCAAGATAACATTAATTTTCTTTCTGGAAAATAATAAATACCACAAAATAAACTCGTATATGTTCATGTTAATCAAGAAAGTATGTATACAAAAATATGAATATACCAAATATTAATATATAATATCTAAATGTATTGCTTTCAGAGGAAATAACTCTTTTGGCTTCCAGAACACTATCAGAAATCATAATTGTCAATTGTTATTTGGTGGCATCTAGAGTGAAAAGAAATTTTTGAAGTTTGTTCACTTTATTCAAAGCAATGCTAAATAAATAAATATTATCATATTTTCTTTTTAGATCAAATCAATTACTTGAGTGCCAATAATCGAGATTAGGGAAATTATTTTACTAATCACGAAGGAATCTCAAAAATATAATTAGGATCAACAAACTCATTGATCATGTAATAATTGAAAAGTTGGATGGTTTGTTTCACATTTTAAAGATTGGATATTTAAATTGAAAAATATACAAAATCTTGAAGCCTTTCTCTATATAAATGGAACATACAAGTTTTCACACTCAACACTGAGTAATCTCTCCAACTTGATTATAAAACCCCCTGAAAGTTTCAACACCATTGATATACATGGGAAGTGGTTGAACTACACTTTCATAATTTCCATTTCTCATAGAAATACTGAAATTTCTTCAAACAATTTAACTTTTACAAGGACATCTAATACAAACAGAAATCAGAATAAAATTCCCACAAAGGAGCCTTCAAAATTCACCCCCTATATTCATTCAGAAGTACAACACGAGACAGAAGAATAGGAAACTTGAGATGAAAGAACAGGAAATTATGTTTAATTGATAAACACAAGATAACCACAATTGATATATTAGAAAGATTGATAAACATTTGGTTATAATCATGGACATTCCTATCTGTTGCACTATACATGATTGATACTACAACATTATATTACCAATATATCTACAGCAGAAAGTGATGCTCAAGTAAAAAAACATACTGATTTTACAAAATAGTGAACAGTACACCTAAATCATTCATCCATATGTATACACAATTAAGTGTCTCAATGTATACACTTTGTATACAAAAGGAAACTCTGAGCGCCTTTAAAGATTGTCTGGATAGTCAATTTTTCTGTGATCAATTGAATGAGATTATATATATAATAACTGTGTGATCTAATTATAACTGTATTACTCTACGAAAAATATTTATTATATAACTTTATTTTACACCGATGTAATGATATGTGTACAACTGCTTGTTGCTGCCATCATTAATAAATTAATAATAATAATAATAATAATAATAATGAATATTTCCCTGCATGGAAATGGAAGTTCAAATCAACCCATGCAAACCCACTTCTAAATAATTAATGAATTGTTTTTTTGAATACAGATAAAAATAAGCAGCAATAGAAGTGGACTGCATGAGTAATATTTGATAGATATTAAGATATTACAGATTTCATCTGCCAGTTTTGCAGCCTTCTTCACTGCTTTGTCATACATTCAAACATTACCACACAGCGAATGCTGACATATAACTAGAAACCGTATTTAACAATATAGAGAAAGCTTAATAAATTTGAACAATAGGTAATCAATTTGAATATAAATAAGTAATAAAAGTAGGAGCACTCAATGTCTATACGTCATTTTTCTAGGACAAGAAACTTACAAGGTCTTAAAATCTGACCGATGATATGTACTATAAGTTTTCATTTTCAATTTCAGGAAGACACACAAAATATATTACAGCAGCCGTTCCATGTGCCAGATTAGCAATCTCCTCAGTGCTTAAAAACTGACCTACAATGGAACTCAACACACTATTACATGAAGAGACAAAAAGCTCCAAATTCTATCTTCTGGATGAGGAAAACAGAGGGGGATGAGAAAAAACAATAATAAACTTGAAAGCAAACAGCATCATTTTAAGAGTTGAAATATTTAAGAAAAAACCAGTAACAGTAAGTCACATAGTGGCAAGCAGAAGTACAGAGAAGTGTCCTAGAGGTACAAATTTAACCAAAAATTAATATCCAGGAACCATCTGATACTACATTATTAACAAACCAAAATTAAAAACTGAAAATTTAATTTATTTAGCTATTTCAATTTAAGTGATAAAATTAGAATTGTGCATGTTCAGTGGTGGCCCACTCCTGGAATGGGCCTCATCACCCTTCCACGCTTGCCGTCGTTGCACTTGAGTGGCTCGCACACAGCTCCTGAGGGTCAGCGGAAGTGCAAAATGCTGTGCAGGCTTGGCTCGCTGAGTCTTCTCACCTCCTGGATTTGTCCCCCACCCAGCAGGGCAGCACTCCAGTTGGGACAAGCTGGAAGCTCCTCACTGGTCTCCCGATATGTGTACAAGAGTAGCAACACAGAAGACAGCCACCAAAATTGACCTCCAGACAAATATTCAATTCAACCCAGCTATGTAGTAGCTACAGTTCCAGCAGTGTTTAAACGACTGACAGTTCAATTTTCTGTTGCCAAACAGTACTAGGCTCATGGCATCCCCTGCACGGCAGATGAATTAAATCCCAAAACATTAACACTTACTGACAGGTGACGACATGTCTTGATATCATGTTCATGAACTTTGTCACAGCCGACCCTTATCACCTCCGCATCTTCGTGAGAGTGAGCTGAGGGTAAACAAATCCTCGCAAGCTGATTGCTTTAGAGCCAGTTACATGGCATACCCCAGCATGTAGCAAGAGAACTGTCTGAGTCACTTATGCGCTGCTGGACTGTAGTATCGAATATCTGCCTCTGTCAGAACATGAACCTTAGGATCTCTTGGAAAAACATATCAAGGTTCAAGGTTTGACAGACATGGCAACTGATTTGTAATGCACCAAGAACTGAATTCAGAATGGCTGAGCATCCGAGATTGAATTACTACAATCTTTTTCGTTTCCTTGAAGAATAATTGAACACGGAAAGAAAGACAGTAAGAAGGACAGAAGAAGAAAAAAGAAAGGAGAAGAAAAGAAGAAGAAAGATAGGTATGTAACAAAAAAAGAACATAGCAGAAGTATATTTTAGTAGCACACATTTGAAAACAAAAGTAGAAAGACTAGTCCACAATGTGCTATAATTCAAATAGACCAAGAGCATACACACGCCCCCTCCACACCCCACCCACTCTAGTAATGGAAGCCTCCAAATTCACTTTCCCCAAAAAGAGAATGTGAAGTTTTATTAAAACAAAGATCCTGAAATATAATTCTTAATTATCACATACACATTCATGTTGCACAATGTGTTTTTAATTTTTTTTATAGAACTACCCTACCAACATATCAGCAACAATGCAATTGAAGAAACATTCATTAGTGATACTGAACATACTAAATTGTAAGAGTGGAAGAATTAAGGTTGAAATTATCTTCAAAAATCATGCTGATAAGATTTATCTTCAAAAATGATTTCTGACTCATATTTCAAAGAGGTTCTGTTGTCAATACCTTGTTTTCATTAATATTGGTATCTGTTGAACAAATTTACAAAGAATATACTCTTAATATTTATTGATTCTTGAACACACCTGTGCCTCAGATCAGTGATGTCAGCAGCAAAATTTATGTCCCCTGATATAAGTATGATTGACGCAGGGCTCCCATGAATATCTGCAAAACGGCGCATGGACTGACGTAACTTTTCATCAGCAGCATTCTTACACATTGATGCCACATGAATGAGATTAACCTAATAAAAAGTACAGTTAAATAACACTGACACATAGTTACATGTATATGACTTATTAATTCAAATACACAGGCACATACCCAAATTTTACAATAAATGTAGGGGCAACAAAACAATTAGGGGGGTTGAAATTGATTAAAACATTTGAAATTCTTTGAAGGCTTTCTTAGTTCTTAACTATACATGAATATTTTTCCATAAGTAATAAAATAGTATTTGTTCTTAGTCCTAATAATGTATAAAGTTGCTAAAATGAATTTAAAATATTACAATTGAAATAACACTAAAACTAACTGCAGATTTTATTACCTTACATTAAGATAAAAAATCGGATTTATACAAAATCAAAATTGAAATTACAAATCATGATATCAATTAATTTCAATAACAAAACATTGGAATCAAAATTGAGAGTGTTACATTGCAAATTGAAATCTTTGACCTCTTAATTCACATAGTTTGTTCTTCAAATTCTTGTTTCAGCTAATTTATTTTTTGATGACATTATGATATTAAGTAGTTTCATCAAAAGGTAAATGTTGCACTTAAGTTTAAGTTTAGAAAAACTGAGCAAACTTGCTCCATTGGCAAATCACAAACAGAAAAACAATTGTTCAAAATTAATTGAAATAGTAACCAATAAAATGCAGTTTAAGAGTACAGAATCATTATTAAAAGAATTTAAGCACACTAGGTAAAGTTGCAAAATTAGGTAATATTCATAATGTACAAAATAGTTTGAATTTGAAACAAAGGGTGGCCCACTTTTTGTTGGGCTAGTTTTCCCTGTTTTACAGTATTGAAAGAAAAAATTGAATAAAAGCCAGGAAAGTTGACATCAAATTGCTGTTATCAAGTGTGTCTTTCTCCTTTATATCTCAGATTCTTTGGCATTGTGACAGAAACAAGCACACACTAATTCAAAAGACTTGGGGCCAGTTGCATAAACATTCTTTATGGAATTAGTTCTGTGAAGACCTAGAAGAAATCTTTCTGAAACTACCACAAAAGGCTTATATTCTTTATCTTAGGTCCAAGAAATAGCTTGGAAATGCATATAATTCTATAAATAAGCAACTTGGCAGCCTTGCACACTGCTGCAAACAGCTGCTTGTGGGGTTTGTTTCGGGTTGAGAGTAGTGTGAATAGTGTATTAAGTGTGAAGTTCAATCTTGATACCCTCTGGGTGTGGTGAACAAATCGGTACAATAGAACTCTGTTTATACGTTTCTCACTTATACACTTTTCATGTTTATACCTTTTTTTAAAATTTCAGTTAATGCGTTTTACACACTTATACTTTCATAAGAAAATTCTCTGTAAGACAGAATAACGTCCAAATGATCCCGGTTAGGCACGAGGTGACTTGCGCGAGAAGTCTGAAACTTTTATATTAATCGAGTACGCACTCTCCAGGATGAACCTGCGGTGTTACCTGTTGCTCGGCCTCTGAGCCGACTTTACGCAAATGAAACTTGGAACATAGAAGCTCAAATCTGCCTAGTTGAGGGGCGAAGACCATGCGAACCTGCGGAAGAGCAAAGTTGGCTCCCGGGCCACAGCCGGCAATGAAAACTACGGCTCAAACAATTTTTGGTTTGGGTGCGTACGAGAGCACTTTGAAGATCTCATGAGACAACAGCCAGCTCCAAGGGAAGATCAAAGACATCCCCAGGAAACAGTAACGACGTAATGACCAATAAGTGAATTTTGTGCACTGACTGTCCCACTCTCCTAAAACCCTTTTGCTCGCAGAAATAAACTAGATCCTTTCTATGGCGGCATGGCACAAGCAGCTAATGAAACGGATGGCTTTTCCGCGTGGCATGGCAGGTGTCGCAAGGCTGTGGGACTGTGGCGGAAGTGCGCTCTGGGAAAATGATGGTGTAAAAATCTGGAGTTTTTATTGTGCTCATAATAATCAATTTCAGTTATGAGTTTAACTCGCTTTTTTATCCTTACCCAACATTTCTTCCCATCAGTCCCCTGAAAAACGTACAAGTGAAGTTTTACTGTACAAGCCAACAAATTCCCACATTTTTGTTGCAAGCAATTTTGTGATTAAAATCCTTTTAAATATAGTTTGGTTATGAACCTATGTTAAAAGTCTCCACTAACATTTGTATTGTTCTTTTCTTCTTGTTCTTTTTCATTACATTTAATCAATATTATCATTGCAAATATGATTGATTAAATGAAAATAATAGAATCTTCCACCAATTTTGCAATGCATTTTAGTCATGTGTTGAAAAAAAAATACAATAATTTCTTTACTGTATGTATTATAACCACTGTCGTACAAATTTTATTGTGGGGAAGAACCAAAACTTTTACAAGTACAAACTATTAATGATTGAAATAACAATAATTATTGTGCTTTAAGAAATGGACAATGAAATAAATTAATATTAATAATAAAAATAAAAAACATGAAATTAAATTAGAATACATATTCAAATGAGTGACCTCCAGAGGCAAAAATTCTGCTGAACAAAACTACAGAAATTAGTTTTCTGAAAAATAGCCAGCACACTGTGCAACTTATGAATAGCTAATATTTAATGGACTGCAGCCTCCTCTTTAAAAACCTTGTCACCCTTAACCGAGTGGAGTCATAAGCAGTCATGTACTGAGGATCAGAATTACTTCAGTACAAGCTATTTGAATATAGATAGAATAACACAACCAGATAATTGCATTTTTTTTATCAAAATCGAAACTGTTTAATTGTTTTTGTGGTTTTCACGAGTTCCCAGGCATCTTAACAAAACCATAAACCCATAAAGAAAGTTTTAGGCAACTGGTTCTACGTATCTCTATCTGTTTTCATATTATTGATATCACTATGAAAAGTAAACTAAAATTGAGTTTATCAAATAATTGTGCAGAAAATAATGTACATATGTTATTTAAACCTACTTTTTTTGTCTCAAAAATAACAAACTTCTGATTGTTGAAAATAATCCTTGATTTCCCCCAGAATTTTTCACATCAATGAAATTCCCTAACTTTCCAGTTCTCTCAAAAATGATCATTACGAAATACGTAAGTAACCATAAATTGAAAACAAGAGAAAGCATGTAGACATGTTTTTTTAAAGTTGGTAAACTAGAGAGAGAAAATCTCCCTTAAATTAAGGAGTACCTCTTGCAACTTTTTCTCAAAAAACAAACAAATGTCTGAAAATAAGAACAAGAAATAATAATTAAGAGTCTTTATTGTCCTGAATATAACTTTAGAAAAATAGGATGCAGTAATTAAAATTTTAAAAAGTATTTCTATAAGAATTCTTAAAAGTTCAGAACCAATAATGTAATTGAAGAGAAACTGCATCACCCTACAAAAAATCGTCATTCTGTATTTTTTGTATCCAATATGCTCTCAAATTGCCAATTAATGTTTATTATTGCATCTAAAAACCTTTCATTGTTTCTTTTACTTGCATAACTAGTATTGGAGATTCATCAGCCATTCCTGAAGGTGTATAGGGATAGTGTTAGTCACCAGCTGTGAGTTTTCATTGTAAGATCAGGAAGAAGAGGGTAGATGTTGCTATGTTCAAGGAAAGTTACTCAACATGAATAATAGCTTCTCCCCAGTGAGAACTTTTCGGAAGAAATCAAAAGGTTACCTGCAGATAGAAAACCCGAAATATTACAAGAGCTTCAATATTCAATTATCCATACATACAATAAGAAGCTGCAACAATATTACACTGAAAATTTAATTGTACATGCCTGGGCATTGCAGTTACCATGGCAAGAGGAACTTGAAGTACTGGTCAAAATAGTTCAATTGTCAGAATTTAGTATGTTTATTAAAAGTTATTAAGTATTTAATATATTCCTTCCCAAGTTAATTGAAAATTATATATTTTGTCTAGTTTATAATAGGTTCCTGATTCTGTGATATTTAAAACATTGTCTGTTTTTGTAAAAAAAGGTGTTTTTCTGTTGTTTTTTTAAATTGGAGAATACCACAAAGAGATGAGGCAGCTTTTTTGAGACCTAGTGTTAAAGACATCATTTTCAATTTTTGACAGGAATTATTACAATTACTTACACAATTATTATAATGTAACTCCAAAGTAGAACAGTAGTTCCTTATGAAATTATACATGAGTGGCAAGAACAGCTTTTGAAGTAGGGAATAAATTATATAAATAAATCCATTGTGCCCTTTATTAAAGATGCATTTCTAGAATTTCCAAATGATTAATCATTTGTGACAAAAAAATATTTTTGAAATTGGGGTGTATGGTAAAATGGAATTTTCTCCTACATTTAAATTAATTAAAAACTCATATTTTCACATTTTTATTATCATTAAGTACTAAGATAATATTCATAAACACCATGAAAAAGAAACAAAACCTACTCCCACATCTCATAATTAATTACCTGAGCATCATTTAATTCCTGCAAAATCTGATTACTTTCTTTCTTGACATCACAAACTACCAAAAATTCAGCTTCTCTGAATCCTGTGAAAAATCTCTTGCGAATTACTTGGGCCACTGCCACAGCAGATCTTCCTTTTGGTACCTGAATAGAAGAAAAAAAAAAATCACACACTGACTAGAAAATATTAATTTTCTATAGAAATGATGTGCACTAAAATCTAATATTTTCTTTAAAATATATATACATGAGAAAAAGTTTTAAAACTGAGATTTCAGTACAGCAAGTTCTTACTTGACAATTTTCAATGTCCCAGAAAACACCAATAGGAGGTAGCAGACGAGGAACAGCATGCAATGGAACAGGGCTACCCTCACTCTGGTATCCCTGGCACCTCAATCGTGGATGTACACAAGTGTGTAATGATGATAAATCATGATACTGGGAAGTATTGGTGTCTGAATAACTGTCTGAATCAGATTCAGTTATATAACTTTTAGTTTCTGATAATGGACGATTAGGATTCTGAGGTTGAACAGGAAATGTAAAAAGACTACAATTTGTTTCTTTACTAGGTGTAGATTGTCTTTCTTCATAACTTAAAGAAGATGTGCGCTTCCTAGGAGCTAAAAAATACAAACAAGCATGAGGTCTATTTAAACTTATTGGCAGCAATTTTTATAAATTCATGAAAAGAAAATAACCTTGTTTCCTGTGAGGCAGCACATGTACCAGTTTCTTTTTTGTACTCGATTCCATGTTGTACCTACTTTCTTTTTGAATTTTACTTTCACCTACTATGGTGTAAGGCCTGAAACTCAAAACATTTAACGTTTTGTATTCACTAAACGGTTTTGATAATTCTTCCTGATATAATACAAATTAAAGATCACAATAAGACCTTAATGATAAAACATTTACACGTTGTTTTCAATCTAGCCCATCATACTGCATTACTGATCTAGGCCATTAACTGAGAAAATAAAAATAAATAATACCGTGATAAAAATATCAGCATCCCACAGAGTTGAACATTAAAGACTGCTCGCCATTCATCACTCAAGATTTCACACCATCATCCCACCGCTGCACCATTCGCGGGCCAAGCGTAGACGCAAACACGAAATCCCCTCGACGAGAGCAAGTGCCCCCACTCAACGCGCACATTTCTGCGCATTGTCGTCAAGACCCAAGGTAAAGTAGCCAACATACATCGCCACACACATTGGGGCAGATATTTTGAAACTCTCATAATTTATGACAGCCGTTCATTGTCGTTTGTGTTTTGTACTCTCACTTCAGTGTAGAAGAAACGCACACAATCGATTCTGAAACAAAGAAGCAAATGTGTACATTGAAAGCGAGGCAACCAACACTTCGAAGTTATTGTCCATACTGATATATTCAACTGTTTTCCCGCGTAATAAGGAGTAATATGAAACGAGAAATGGATAGCAAACCCGAAGTAATGCAATTTCTGCAAAACAAGAGGACGAAACTCGCACGATTATTGAACATATATAGATTTTTGAGTTCACTTAACAACATTCGATAATTAATTTGTACACGTGTGGTTAAGGCCGTAATTTATTTTAAACACAATGCTTCATTTTTTCAACTTTCCGACTTACAGAAAACTATATTACGTACAACTTCGATTCATAAGCACCGTAACGACTCAAGATCAATTGAGTTATAATATTCGGTTACTTGCAGTCGTGAACAGAAGTATCCACAGAGCACCTACTGGTTGTCTATGGAAGAAACTAACCATTGCTATGATGGAAAAATAATCTTCAATATTCAGCCATGGAAGAACCATTACCTACCATAGAGGTAGTAAGAAGAGTTACCTACTCTCGGGGAAAAAAACAATTCAGCATTGCGGGAAGTGCTGCACTCTATCTGGAGAGCAATATATTAAAATGTATTAAAGAAATTTTGGTCCAGAGACGTTGAGGTTGACGAATAGGGAGTTTACACAACGCCCTCTCCACTAGAGGTGTTTTTTACAACAAAAAAAAAAAAAAAAAAAAAAAAAAAAAAAAAAAAAAAGGAGAGGGAAAGGGAGAGAGAGAGAGAGAGAGAGAGAGAGAGAGAGAGAGAGAGAGAGAGAGAGAGATGGATGTGGATAAAACTTAAACACTAACACGAAGTTGTGTATATTTTAACTTTGGGGGGCTATTACATTTAATGTACTAATGCTTATAAATATGATTATTTAAATATATATTACTCGTACATTTTTTAACATTGAAAGTTTTTTGGGTGGTATTAATGGCTCTAATGACGTTCTGTCGAAAAAAAATCCCCTTCCATATCCATATTTTAATGAAATTAAGAACTGATTTTGCTTGAAAATGAGAGATCCGTTTAAAGTTTGCGATTTGAAGGATTAAATATTTTTAAACTCAAGATTTTATTTTGTAACGAAATATTACAGTATATTGGTTTAACAATTGACACCAGCTCAGATTCGGATTAAAAAATAAAACCGTTAAAATATTTCATTGGTGATAGTTCATGTTATTGAAAAAAATTGGAAATCTGTATTCGTTTGGTCAGAACGACCGTAAAACGTTTATAGTCCAGTCGGCAAGTACATTTTATTTGAAAAAAGACAAAAACAAATGCTGCCCGTGTTAACGCATGGACCCAGGCCCCGAGCCCCCCGATAGTTCTTAAAAAAATATTTAATACTAAATTAAAAAATAAAAAAAAAAAACGCATACAAATATAATACGAAAATAAAATGTAAAACTACACGCCAAAAATTGACAAAACGGAATGATGGGTCGCACATCATTGGATAATATTTATAATATGGAATGTTGCTGGTTGATGCGAGAATGTCATTCAGTGATGAGAAGTATTTTTTTTAACAAACTTGCCTTTAAATTGGAGAGGAAGATGGTACGTAAAAGAATGAATAGGGGGTCCCCCAAAGTAACATAAGTCCAAGGGCCCCCACAGCTGTTAAAACGGCCCTGGAACTAGTTAAAACCTGTTTTCGACCTCTCAGACCTTGTTCTAACACACCGTGTGACAAACCGTTATTTTTCAGACTTTTGTCTCTACGTCGAAGGATTGGAATATTACAAAAGCATACGACACATCGAGTAAGACAAAATGTATCAAAACACCACACACAAACATAGCATCTTTACCACAAGCGGAGCGAGAAGCACGTGTAGCATGATATGAACGCCGAAATGGCGTTGTAAACCGGCACAGTCCGAGTACGAGTACACTGGGTACACGACATAATATTGTCCCAACAGCCCCCATCGAGGATAGGGCCGGTGTTACTCTTGCACATCTCTGGAGACAACCTGTCCAAGCACTCCTAGTGCTTCGATCTGCTTTGCTCCTTGGTGAACACTTACGCAGGCATCCGGTAGGTCGGCGCGTAATTGACGCAGATTTCCCCAGACAAGAGCACCCCTCGAATGAAGTGATGTCGCACGTGTGCTATGTGCTTTGTTCGAGAGTGAAAAATTGGATTTTCGGCAAGGCTCTGAGCCCCAATGTTGACGTTGTATAATACAACACCGGTGACGACTGCAGCTCCCACCTCTCCAACCAACCGCCTCATATATATTGCCTCCTTTAGGGCCATGTACTCGACCTAGGTGGATGCTAAGACCACCGTCCGTTGCTTTCGGAACGCCCACCTCACGGCTCCTCCATACACCGTAGAAACAAAGCCCGCATATGACCTACAGTGGCCCACGCAGGACGCACTCTCTTCGCCCTTTGCCAGGGAGCCACGCCGAAAGCATCGTTGAACTGATTCAACATACTCGCGGCATGTGATATGTTGCGACCGAGATACATTACAGCTCCCTCCAGTTCCCTCTGAGTGGGGGGGGGGCGACGTCCTCGGACAAAGAACTCTTCGTCAGCTTGACTTCAGGATTGGTCGGCGCCGCCACTGGTTTTCAGAGCGTCCACTACGTGCCCCTTTTGATTGAGGTTATACTGGACTCGCGTCTCGAGAAGACCATTCCCAGGCAATACTTGCGGGCACATAAATCCCTGGTCACGAAAGATTTGCGTAAGTGGTTGTAGATCTTGTCGATCTCTCCGGAGTGACGCAACAAGACTAATATGTCATAGACAAAATTATCCTCGCCTTTCACATGAACTCTGGAATCGCCGGCTGTTGGTTCTGCAATGAATTTTGTCAACTCTTCGTTTAGACGCCTGATTCAGCAGCTTGCTTGCTTTAGGCAGCAAAGAGTCTTACTTATTTAACAGATTCGATTCGTGCTCAGTGACCTCAACGTGTCCTTGGCCTCCCTCACAATTTCGGATGGGCCTTCTTCGATTATCAGCTTGAGAACCTCTCGCACGTGACCTGGTAGCTTCGAGTAGATTTCTTCGTCGACGATACCGTTTAAACACGCGATTGTCATATTGAACTGTCGAATTGACACGTTGTTGCGAGCGGCCAGAGCAACAGCGAGCCTGACCGAGCTGAGTCGTGCAACCGGCGCAAAAGTCTCGCTGAAATCCAGCCCGGGTCTCTGGGCGAAACCCCTGGCCATGATTCTGGCTTTTCTTCTCACTATTCCGCCGTTTTCTCCATATCTGCTTCTCAGAATGAAACAACTGCCAAGTGCATTGCTATCGCTCGGACGCTTGATAAGGTCCCATGTTTTGTTCTTTAGGACGGACACACATTCGTTGCCATCGCTGACATGCATACAATTTTATCAGAACCTGATAGGCTGAGCTAAGCGGAATAAACCTCCGTTATAAACGTCTCGTGGTCTTCCACATCGTCCCGTTCTGACTGTCTTTGATATTCCCGGTGTGCGATGTACAGCTTGAACGTCGGGTGCAGGTTCAACGTCCCTAATCTTCACGCGTAACTCGCCAGGTTTCGGGATCGTCACGAGACTCAATGGCACACCGAAAGTATTCGAAGCTATTCAGTAAACTATGTAATAATAGTATCGATAGCAAGTCATTATTGGTCATCTCTTCTATGTTTTCATGTTTGTTCACCGCATCGAAAAATCTACGCAAATGTTGCAATAGTCCATCATACGCGAAAGCGTGATAAGCTTTAGCAAGGTGACTGTACGCCGGTTCCTCAAACTGATAGATTACTTCTAGCCGTTGCCACAACGAACGTGCAGTAACACAATCTTTCGCCTGCTTTAGTTCAGATGGCTGTATCGCCAATATATCCGAGAGAGCTTCGCCATCTTTTTCTTCCCATTCGATGATCGCTTTTGCATTGCTGGCCCCAGGTTCGAGTTTTGCTTTTACCCCAGTCACATAATCCCAGGTTTAATTTTCACCAGCACAGCCTTTACGTGAATCCTCCATGTCATACTAGTTGTCTCCAGACAATGACTCGATACGCAATACGCCTGAAGCAGCCATGGTCGCAAATTATTGCGTCGTCGAGGAAAGGACACAGAGAACACTGTTAGAATACTTTCCCTTACAAATTCAACAATAACGGAGTAGAATAAGTTGCCTGCGACAGACTTCATGATCATTTTATACAGGAAAGGCGTCCAAAGTACAAAAAACGGCTCTGTCTTCAAATTTGAAGTTACAGAGTAGCCCAAGCAATCAATAACTTCTAATTCTACAACTTTTATGTAGAACATAAATGTTCCAGATGCCAACTGTGAATCGTATTAAGTTTTTTCCTCGGAACTATGGATCAAGCACTTATTTCCCCATTTAAAATCACCAATTCAATTGTAATGTTTGTAAATTGTTGTTTTGACACCAGGTTGCATAAACCTACCTGCAGAAATAATGAATACCTAGTATCATATATCAGTACAAATCAATACAGACGCAATCAAATTTTAAATAATCTATAGATGTCCAGAATGACG